TGATGAATTTTACACTAAAGCATTACAGTGTTAAATCAATAAAGCTACACTGCATTTCCACAGCTACCCTAGAGAAAATCTCCTGTGTGGTCCACTATAGTTCATGGACTCAGCCCTATATATTTTTGGTGTCTGGAGACAGCAGAGGACAATAAATGAAGGACTAAAGCTTCTTCTCGGTGCAGATATAAATTCTGGTTGTTTCAAAATATTGTTTGCAAGCCTAACCTTCAGTATGGCTCCAAGAACAAAGCCACATTTAATTTGGAAATGGTGTCAATTTGTGTGACATTTTGCCAACATACACTCAGAAATTGCTAGTATTTCATCTCATAGTATATTAAATCCCAGCCTTGTTGAAAGTACATCACCTTTCAGTTCAGTTAATTGTTTCACCTGGATTCTTAAAGACAACTCTGAGTCATTGCAGTTAAATGTTTTTGAGTTTATGTTAAATCTTATTCTCTACTTTGAAACTAATTTAGTCAAAGTCTATTTAGAGTAAAAATTTAGATTTTTTTTAACAAGAGTAGTGCAGGGTACTATTGAATGAGATGCCTGAATAATAATCAAAAGAAATACTTCTGCTGCTGCTTATTCATTCTGCCCAAGGCAGTGCTGGTTTAATCTGCAGATTATGGCTCTTAAAAATGACTATGAATGTATAAACCAAAAAATGGCATCCAGTGGCCAAAAACGGTTACCAAATTGACTTATTTTATTGCAGTATATATAATTAGTTTTACTTTGAAGTTACAACTTCTCATCTCACATACACATTTCTTAGATGATTTAAAAAAAATCACTTTCCTATCCCAATAACTGCAGCAGAAACACCCCATCAGCAGCATTGGCCTGTGTACCATTGATTTTAATTATTTAAGCAAGCAAAGTGTTTAGATTTCATTACAGTTAAATATGTTTTTTAATTAGTGCTAATTTGTTGTACTTTTAAAATAAATGAAGTGTTGAAGGCATATAATGGTACATTTAACCTCTTTGTTTTCTCAAATTCATTATTATCGAATTATTATAGAGATGCTAGAAAAAGCACTTCCCTTCACCGTTTCTTTTTACAGGTCACAAATTCATTACTTTCAATACAATACTGTATTCAATCTCTGCAGCTTCACAAGGGCTTACGGTGTTTACTTTGCCGAAAGCAATGAATAGAACACAACGTATAGTTGATAACCGAGAAGCCAATTAGAGTCAGTGGAGTGTGTCTTTCTCTTGATGAATGCTTTATATGTACAGTATCCGAAGGAGTGGAATGATTTTATTGCATATGTATAGCAGAGAGCTGTCGGTTTATTTATTCTGGCCTCATAGAAATGTCTTGTAAGGACTCTGTAATGAGATATTATGTGAACTGAAAAATTTGTTGACTGAACATTCTGGAAGAAAACTTTTCTCGATGTGGGTAGTTCAGTGGAACTTGCGTGTGAAGCACAAAAAAGTTCCCTCTCTTACCAGAGACATGCTTTAAAGCCTGATCAAACCCCTACTTTGCGGATGGTGTCGAAATAGTTTGGGTCGCGGAGGCGTGGGGGGGGTTGTTGTGTTTTGAGTGGATGTGTTGTTCATGCATATTCCGTTTGAATTTGTCGTTCTCTAGACACTACCCGCTCACAATTCAGTGCAGGTGATGCAAACACAACCTCCATCCACTTCAATTATCTCTTTGTTCCATTCACAGAAAAAAAAGCTTAAGATATTCACACATGAAAGTATGCAGTTTATTATTTTATTTGTTGGTTTATTTTTCATTCTTTTTTAACCTCGTTGGTTTTAAAAGCAATCAAGGAGAAAAGTATTGTTGCAGTTTAATAATTTATACAAAAACGAAAAATCATTCGCACTCATTCTAAACCTATACGATGCTCTTTATTCTGTTCAACACAAAAGGATCATTTAGGCACAATGTTCACGCTGCTCTTTATCAAACAATGAAAGTGAATGATGTTGACCATGGACTCAAAAAAAAAAAGCTGAATAAAGAAAAGACAATAAAGCATTATAAAAGTAGTCCATGTGTTACATGTACGTCCTGTGTTTCTCCCTGCATTGTGTTTTTGGTTCAGTCCTGTGTCCCAGTTTTCCCGCTTTTCGTTAGTTTTCAGTGTATTCACCTGTGTTGAGTTCATTTGTGTGTCCCGTCGAGCCCAGCCCAGAGCCCTCACCACTGGTCCCGTCCAGCCCAGAGCCTTCGCCGCTGGTCCCGTCCAGCCCAGAGCCTTCGCCACTGGTCCCGTCCAGCACAGAGCCTTCGCCGCTGGTCCCGTCCAGCACAGAGCCTTCGCCGCTGGTCCCGTCCAGCACAGAGCCTTCGCCGCTGGTCCCGTCCAGCACAGAGCCTTCGCCACTGGTCCCGTCCAGCACAGAGCCTTCGCCGCTGGTCCCGTCCAGCACAGAGCCTTCGCCGCTGGTCCCGTCCAGCACACAGAGCCTTCGCCGCTGGTCCCGTCCAGCACACAGAGCCTTTGCCGCTGGTCCCGTCCAGCACAGAGTCTTCGACGCTGGTCCCGTCCAGCACACAGAGCCTTCGCCGCTGGTCCCGTCCAGCACACAGAGCCTTCGCCGCTGGTCCCGTCCAGCACAGAGTCTTCGACGCTGGTCCCGTCCAGCACACAGAGCCTTCGCCGCTGGTCCCGTCCAGCACACAGAGCCTTCGCCGCTGGTCCCGTCCAGCACAGAGCCTTCGCCGCTGGTCCCGTCCAGCCCAGAAACTTCTTCACTGCTGGTCCCGTCCAGCCCGGATCCTGTCCCGATCCTGGAACCTGTCCTTGAGTCTTCTGTCCCTGAGGACGTCCCTGAGTCTGCCACTCCCCCCAAGAAGGGTCGTCTCCGCCATGGCCACCCGAAGTGTCCTCTCCGCCATGGCCACCTGCACATCCTTCTCCGCCCTGGTCCCTGAACTGCCAGCTCCGCCCTGGAGGCTTCCTGCTCCGGATTGGCCATGCCCTCGTTAGCCTCCGGGACGCCCACCCCTATTGAAGTTATACGGCGTGAGAACGCGCCTTTTTTGGAGGGGGCGTTATGTGACATGTATGTCCTGTGTTTCCCCCTGCATTGTGTTTTTGGTTCAGTCCTGTGTCCTGGTTTTCCCGCTCTTCGTTAGTTTTCAGTGTATTCACCTGTGTTGAGTTCATTTGCCCCAGCTGTGTCTTGTTTCTCTCTTCATTCCTCGGTGTATTTAAGTTCCTCTCTTGTCAGTGTTCAGTGTCGGTTATTGTTTGTAGTTGGTGAATGGATGTTTCTCCTGTGTTCTTTAATGAAAACCCTTGTTTCCTGGCATTCCTCGTCTCCTCGTGCTTATAACCACCACGTAACGTAACACCATGTTCATTTGTGCAATTTGCTCATTCAAGTTTTGTGCATCTTGATCAGTTTTGAGACACGCAATAACTGGTGACATTTGATATTATTGGCATTTAAATGTAGATTTAAGAGCTGCTATACTAAATTAATGAAGTTCCTAAACGTAAATTAGGGAGGAGCGAGCCCATCCAATCTTTCAATCAACAAACAGAGTATATAAGCAGCCGCTTACCTCTCCCTAGTATCAGCTGTTCCAGTATCCCTCCACCTCCCCAAACTCCACCTTCATCTTAGGTACCTTGCCCTTTAATTAACAGGTCCTACATTTAGCCACTGGGGGGTATATCAGAGCTCGAGTTGAAGCTGCTTCATCGAGCCCCTCTCCAGCGGACAGCAAGCCAAATAAGTTTAACCTAATATCTTAAAGATTTTATGGGCAAACGAACTCGTTAATCAGTATTTAGCTTCAGTTGTGTAAGCTACAGTACATATATAGACTTTTTATCATGTTTGAAGATTGACAGCTGCTGATCATCTTTCACATTCATTGTGGGGGAAAGAGGAGCATGAACATTCTACTTAAAGGAGTAGTTCACTTTAAAAAAAAACTTTTGCTGATAATTTACTCACCCCCATGTCATCCAAGATGTCCATGTCTTTCTTTCTTCAGTCGAAAAGAAATTAAGGTTTTTGATGAAAACATTCCAGGATTTTTCTCCATATAATGCACTTTACTGGGCACCAAACGGTTCAAGGTCCAAAAGACAGTTTCAGTGCAAACTGCAAACTGTTCAAAGGGCTTTAAACGATTCCAGACGATGAAGAAGGGTCTTATCAAGCGAAACGATCGCTCATTTAAAAAATAAATAACAAAGTTTAAGTTTTATAAGCTCAAATGCCCGCCTTGCTCTGTTCTGTGTGACTCTCCTGTTCGAACTCGTTCATCAAAATGAACGAATCTTTTTCCGAGTCAATTCGTTCATTTTGTTTGTTAAATGAATCAAATGACTCGAAAAAAGATTCGTTCATCCTTAATTTCTTTTCGACTGAAGAAAGAAAGACATGGACATCTTGGATGACATGGGGGTGAGTAAATTATCAGCAAAAGTTTTTTTTAAAGTGAACTAATCCTTTAACATCTCCTTTTGTGTTCCTTAAAATAAATAAAGTCTATAACATTATGAGGGAAAGTTCATTTTTTGGGGGAACTATTTTTGTGGAAAGTAGATTCCAAACTTTATGATTTCCTATTTGTTTAAAATAATATACAATGTTAAATACAGCAAATACAATTGTTATTTAAGTAAAGACTACTGTCAGACAAGTCATTCACTGTAAAAAGTGTTCAGTTCACTTAATTTTTTTTTTACTAAACCCGTTGCCTTAAAATTACATGCATTATTACAAGTTACATAAAATATTAAGTAAACTTAATGCTTAATTGAAAAAAACAAGTTGTGTGAACTTGACAATTCCACATTACTTATTTTTTTCGATTAAGCATGAAGTTTATTTACTTAATAATTTTAAGACAACAGGTTTCCACACTTTTTTAAGTTAAGTAAACTTTTTTTTTTTTTTGCAGTGGGGTTAGGTTTAAATTGTGACTATTACATTTTTATATATTACCATTATTGCTTATTTCCGTCGTTTCTGTCTGACCTGTGTTTTTCTAATAGATCTGGATGAGTTTAAAACCCAGAGGAGAAGTCCAGTGAGTGTCAGAGAAGGGCAAGGTGTGGTTCTTCTCTGTGGGCCGCCAGCACATATGGGAGGTGAGGCGTTTTATTGTCTATTACTGGCTGACTGGTTTGGGTTTTTCAATGGATATCGAGAAAACCGGATAGACATGGTAAATGTAATGACAAAATGTATTATGCTCTCTGGAATACTGGATTCTGATTAGTGAGTTGCAGGATTCTTAAGTCTAATATTTTCCTTGAATGACCACTAAACTGGCAACCAATTTTCTACATAGGTGTGATACTGTAATACAATTTTCATGTCCCTTGAATCACTCTGTGGTCCTTTCCTTTATGACAATGGTTTATGACAATGGTTTATGGTTTATGACAATGACACTGACTGACTGTACATTACCCCTCACATGCATGATATAATTATGTTTGATGATAGAAAATGAGACAAACTTTTGCTTACAGTAATACTAAATGCCTGCCAATATAGAACAAAAAAGATGAATGACGATTTAATGTTTAATAATATTCTCATCCTGCACTTTGGATTATGGTTTACAATATGTTGTACCTCACGTGAGTGTTCAAATGTCACACATTTAGGCCCCATCCACACTACTGCGTTTTAGTTTAGAAACGGATAATTAAAACGAATACGATCTCCGTCCACACCAGCATTTTAGCTGCGTATTAGAATTGATCTCCGTCCACATTAAAACGACTGAAAACGCGGATCACGTGACCATTCACCAACACTGGGCATGCGCGTGCCGGTGTAAACACAACTTCAATGATAAAATTGTCCCACCATGCTCTGGGTTAACCCCAAACCGACGCTCCATGTACGGTCAACGCCGCCGCTGCACACGGGAATTGTCACAGATCGCTCGAATAATAGCTTGACTCCGGCGCATGTATAGGCAGTTATAGCGTTATAAAATGCAGAATTTACTTGTACAACAGCTGCTAGCAAAGATATACGCCATGACTGATGACACCCAATCATAGAGCCGAGCGTGAGCCTCTACTACTTCTAAACTTCTCCGTTTTGGGTCTCCGTTTTTGCCGTTTTAGTGTGGACGGGAGGTGCAAACGTAGCAAAAGGTTTTCGAAAACGGGGCCTTAGAGTTATACATGCAGATGTTACCTGTTAGCAAGATGTGAGCAGAGAGACTCAATGCAGTTCCTACTGTTTGTTCCTAACATTCCCCCCCCCCCCCACCAGCAATTAGAGTCCACCGTAATTACTGTAGCTCACAGCATAAAGGCTTTTCAACAGCATAAAGGCTTTTCATACTGCCCAATAGCATAAACACATATTACCTCCCCTTGATTTACTGCCCTTAAGTGGCACACTACTGTGAAAATGTTATGCTAGGCAAACTTTTTGCTCTTTGCCATTAACACAATAGGTGGCCACAGAACATGTTGAACTCGCAATGAACTTAATAAAAACAGGGCACTTTCAAAAGTACAAACAGCAAAGGTTACTACATTGATGTGTAAAACAATGTTTATTTGCTGACAATTTAGACAAATTATTAGCAGTGTCATTTCCCTATAAGTATTTAAGCTGTCAAATGTATAGTAATGTTTCCAACATATTAAAAACAGACAACATGTTTTGGTCTATCTTCGAATACTCACTTCTCATCAGAAAGCTTTATCTGAGATGAAAAGTAGTTAGCACAGCTGCATTAGTGTTGCGTTTGTCTGTCCCCAGCTGTCTTGATTACTGTGTTTAGTCTTGGGCAGAACACTTCAGAACTTATTGCTTTAATGGAGCCAGACCTTTTAAAACTGACAGAAGGCTGAAATCACTTTTTGTTTATGTGGATCCATAAGGGGTAAAACAAAGGACATAACCGGAGTTCTTTTTGGCAAAGCTCAGACACTTTTGTACTGGTAGACTTTTTCTCATTTTATTTATATTTTGAAATATACGAAGTTATTGAGCCTTCATTGTAAATTACTTTAAATATTGTTTCCCCACAAATATGTAATTGCAATCGTGATAAAAGTTGACTTTTGGATGGATGAATGGATGGATGGATGGATGGATGGATGGATGGATGGACCCCTTTTATCCAGGCTGTGTGAATTACACGAGAAAAGGAAGACAATTATATGTGATTTGTATATTATTTAATTTCTTGAAATGAAGAATATTTCTTGTGTTTGCAATGACAATTTTCTTTATTTAATAAATAGATTATGAAGATTTTTCATACTTGGATTGGCAAAACACTGGCAAATCTTACTAGTTAAGTTAGATTTACTGTCTGGTAGACTTTACAATAAGATCTGATTAGATGAGATCTAACTAACAATGAGCAACATATTTGTTACAGTTAATGTTGGGTAATAAAAATACAACTGTTAGCTCAGGTCCATTCAATAATATTAACAGATTTTACAGTAATCTCAATAATAAATGTTGAAATTACTATTAACTAAGATTGATAAATGCTTTAACTAATGTAGTTATCCAATGTTAACAAATAAAACCTGAAAGTGTTACCAAATGAGGTCCCATTGTATTCTGTACAGATGAGCTAAGAAAATTATCTGATATCATTTTCTAGATCTCTGTCAAGTAGCATTGAGTCTGAGTCTGATTCATTTTAGTAAATCAGTTTGTAAGGATGGTTCATTTCAATGATTCCATTTGATTCGTTTGAGCTATCACTCAATAGTGTTGCCAAATGTCCAAGCACTGCATTTCACATAGTGTTATCAGTCAGGATTGTGTCTACTCACATCGCAGGGTTTCTGAAATGGATTGACATTAAATTCTCTAAATTTTGAAACCAAGCAATGTGGTGCAGTACAGCTAGTTTCACCTCTTGTCTTTCCTACAGAGTTGACCTTTTCTTGGATCTTCAACGAATATCCCTCATTTGTGAAGCAGGACACGCGGCGCTTTGTGTCACAGAAAACAGGCAACCTCTACATCGCTAAAGTGGAGCCGTCAGATGTGGGAAACTACACTTGTGTCGTGACTAACACTGTGACCCAGAGCAGAGTGCAGGGACCTCCCACGCCACTTATACTCCGCAGTGATGGTGATGGTCTTACTACATGTATTCAGCTCATACAAAATGACTCATTTGTGGTTTTAACCTTTAAATGCATCAATGTTTTACCAATAATTATTGCATATTCGGGTCTTTAGCAACCCGGATCTATATCTAAATGGATAGCTGCCTGTTGAGATAATAAACTCTTCTGAAATTAGAGTAACAATTAATACAGAAGAATAAAATAAAGCATATTTTGTTACCTTTTGGAGCTTGGAAGGGTTCAGTTTGAGCAGATGTTTTATGCCATCATCACTGTCCTCATCAGAGCTCATTTCCCAGTACATTCAGCATCTGGCTCATATTCACAATCTCAAACATATTCTCAAAACTATCATTTTCAACATCTTCAAAATCAATATTTTGATCGCTGACAGCTTCTTCACCAGATCCACCATCAAGTGACAGTGACACTAATATTTGATTGCATTTAGAATCAGCACTTGCTCTGCAGTAAATCACTGAGCCATTTCAAGTTTTGCTGATGATGCTTCCTATTCTTTTGTTTTCTGCCTGCCGTAACTATGAGTGAAACGTCACTTCATCATTGTGTGTCAGACATTGCCACCTTGTGGAATAAAGACGAATTGAATGATCACTCTTTTTCTGTTTCAGGCATTATGGGAGAATATGAGCCAAAAATTGAGGTCCAATTTCCTGAAGTCTTGGCTGTTGCCAAGGGGTTGACTGTAAAACTGGAGTGCTTCGCCTTGGGAAAGTAAATATTACAGTTGATACTCTAGTCTATAGCCTACTTACATAATATCATATGCAAAGAACAGTTTACTGACATCAACGCTGTTCATATTATTATAGTAAATATTATTTAAATTAAAACATACCTCATTAAAGTCATGAACCTGAAGTTGCGATAGTCTTTTCTTCCCTATTTTGACATATAACCCCGTGAAACGACTTCTCGAACTAGAAAAAAATTTAGGGCGGGACTTGATTTTGTCTATTGGGACTGGTTGGATGGTTGTGCTTTGCTGTTGGTGGATCTCATGTGAGTGACAGTTTGTCCCGCCCTCACAACCAGTATACACGTCATCAGAGAAGAGAAGAGATGAGCTGCAAGAGGGAGGGGGAAGTTATTTTGATTAAAGATTACAAGGGTACAATTAAAAAATAAATAATGATGAAATCATTTATAATAAATACTGCAATGTTCCATAAAAAATAAGAAATGTCTGTGGCGAGCAGGACGAGGCGGAGGGCCGTGAGAGAGGCCGGTGGCGTGATTGCTGATGACTCACGGCCCTCGGCCTCGTCCTGCTCGCCACACTCTCCATTTTGATTTCATGGTGATTTTAATCAATACACTTTACCTTTGGCTTTCAGTCCAGTGCCTGCTATCAGCTGGAAAAGACCAGACGGAGTTCCTTTTCCCAGAAAAGTGGACATTAGCAAATCCAGTGGAGTGCTGGAGATCCCTTATTTCCAACAGGAAGACGCAGGGCCATATGAATGCATGGCTGAGAACTCCAGAGGCAAAAACACAGTCAAGGGGCGGCTCTCCTTCTATGGTAGGGCAGAATTATTTCAGGGATGAAATAAATGTAACTTTTTTTGTAGGAACAATTCAGCCATATTTGAAAAGCATCCAAACCTGTATGACTTTTCTTTTTTTTCTTACATGGAACACAAAAGAAGATATTTAGCAGAAGGTTCAAGCCGTTGTAATTTTAGTATGATTGATATACTATTGTAGTTTATTTAGTTTGAGTTATTTTAGTACATTTCTCATTTTTAGAGAGTGGTGATCATCGCTGGTTACTACTTTCATTGCATAGAACAGAGCCGTTTGGACACATGCACCTTCCATAATCAGACTAACACACAATCAATGTGCACCATTAAGGTTTTATGAATGCTTATATTTTTTAATTTATCACTGATCAATGTTGTGTGGTTTAATGTATTACCCCATAATGTTTTATAACCAGGATGTCAGATTTTCACGAGAATCCCTGTACGTTGTAATTATTTGTCATTGCAATTATTTGGCAGGTAAAAATCCATAATCTCCCATAGACTGTGCTCTCCATCTATCACTGCTGTTGGTGTTATGGAATAATCAATATGGGTCACTGTTGTTTATAACATAATGGTCGAAATCAAAATTATGAGCTCCAGTAGTGACTGATACCTATAAAGCATGCTACTTTGTCCATGCTTGCACTATCCTGTGATTTATTCACCTTTCTCTCTCATCTTGTTCAGTAATGAGAAAAGTTAAGCCTTTGCAAGTCACATTGACCTTCACCATAACCAAAAGAATCAAATTTTAATATGTTTTCAAGCCATTTTTAAAAAAATCGTCCTAGCTGTAAGTATTCAAGGTTAAAACTCTAACATTGACACTCCTTTCTAGCACCTATTTAGTTGTGTGTGTGTGTGTGTGTGTGTGTGTGTGTGTGTGTGTGTGTGTGTGTGTGTGTGTGTGTGTGTGTGTGTGTGTGTGTGTGTGTGTGTGTGTGTGTGTGTGTGTGTGTGTGTGTGTGTGTGTGTGTGTGGTTCGTCAAAGCAATGTGAATATTAATGCATTATACAAAAGCCAGGCCAAAGATCCATAAAACTTGACCCACATTTAGTGAGCGCTGTGTGCTGTAATCTCCTCAGCTCAATGAATGTGGTATACTAAATTTCCTTGTAAATGATTCATAAAGTAGTATGCTTTTTTCCTCATTGTAATGCCATGTTGATTGATTAATAACTAGATTGGTTCATTAATTGGCTCATAAACTGCTTGGTTGGTTTACTACGGGCTAATCAATATCCAACTCTAAGTGTGTCTGGGATTCAGGGAGCTGTTGAAAATTCATTTTTATCGGCAGCACTTTGTGAGATGTTGATATCTCGCTGTGTGTTGTGTGTTTATTGATGGATCTCAGCACCCCCTCATCTGTTGGAGAAGCCTCAGGATGTGCAGAAAGCCATTGATGAATCTCTGCTGTGGGAGTGTAAGGCGAGCGCCAAGCCCAAACCCGCCTACAGGTGGCTGAAGAACGGAGAGGGGATCGAGTCATTTGAGGTGAGTGATGCGGTCCGTTGTACCTTCAGTGCACCTGAAAGACCAAGTTAGCAGATTCAGGAAGTTAAGAAGGAAATCCCAACATAATTGAAATCTAAATCTCAACATAAATGAACATCACACACTATGAAGTCTTTCTATTTTCTTGCCTTGCTCCAAAAAAAAAAGTTAATTTCAAAATGTTTACTCATTAATCTACTAAACTTACAAAAATATGTTCTAAGAACATTTTACTAACGTTCCCATTAAGGTAAACTGCAGTTCAGTTATTTATGAATGTTCTATGAACTTTCATAATGTCCATGTTTTAAAAATGTTTTTTTCTTGGTTCGAGCATTCCAATGTTAAATGAAAAAAATGAAAATTCTGTCAGTAATTACTCACCCTCATGTTGTTCCAACCCCGTAAGACTTTCGTTCATCTTCGGAACACAAATTAAGATATTTTTGATGAAATCTGAGAGCTGGCTCACTCTTTCTGCAAGGTAATTTTGGAAAAACATGAGGGTGAGTAATTACTGACATAATTTTCAGTTCTGTCAGGACCACTATCGTCAAATACGATTGACAATTAGCATACAGTTTGGATTGGCGGTATAGTTCTGTTCTGGGCAAGAACTCCCTGTGCATCCATGCAGCCTAGCAGAGATAAGAGCAGGAGAGCAGCAATAACCCCCCTTCAGACTCTCTGTTCTTTAAGATCGGGTGCACCCAAAACCTTCTTTTTTGTCTTTTAAATAAAATGAAAAGCTCGTCTTCACTGGATGATGACGATGAAGTGTCCATGTTTTCTCAGCTGTCGGCGCGAAAGTTTTTGAATGTTGAAGCTCTAAACGTCGCAAATTCGCGTCGCGGTTGATGTGAATGGTTTTGAAGCGAACTATTCGCTTTTTCATTTAGTTTTTTCGTTACGCGTCCAGTGTGAAAGGGCCTTTAGGGTAACAAAACAGAACCAACATGACTGTATGCAGATATCATTCATTCAAGATTTTAAAGTACTACATAGTTTGAGAATTTATTCTGATTCAAGGGGAATCAGATTACCATACTGGGGTGCGTTTCCCGAAAGCATCGTTAGCCAACTATGGTCGCAAGTTCCGTCGTTACCAATAGAGTTCAATGGGAATTGCGACCAACTTGCGACCATAGTTGGCTAACGATGCTTTCGGGAAACGCACCCCTGACTGGGTGAGAGGAGGGAGGAGGGTAATGAGCTCCTGATGCGAGCTTGACTAACGTGACCTGCCAGAACTGACGCTACGCTTGATTTTTGTGTGAATTAACTCTTTGGGAACATTCCATTTTACCATTTTGCAAACATTATAGGAACATTTTGAAACAAGTAACATTTAAAAAAACTTAACAATAGGCAAACTAACCATTTAAAGGAACGATGTAAAAATAGTGTTAAAATAAGTTTAAATATGCTGAACAAAGTTTAAATAAAGTTAAAATACGTTCAAAACATGTTCACGTTAGCACAAAATGTTAAAGTTTTTGTGCTAACGTGAACAAAGGTTTTATTAACATTAAAGGATGAACATTTGTTCATAACTCTAAGAGAAGTTTAAGAGATCTGTGTTTTTGGCAAGACGGCATTTCTAATTTTCATTCGATTTTATAAGTTTAAGGTTAATCATCTGATATGTTGTTTTAGATTTAACAAGTAATACTGAATCAACCAACTTGAGTCAGTGTTAAGGGCCATTCACACAGAACGCGTGTTTCCATTCCAATGTGCTACTTTTCCTTTGCTTTATGTCGTTGCACTCGCGTCTTTTGCAGCGTCTCGCGCATGACACGGCATTCTAAAATCGCGGCGCTCAAGTTTAAATCAGTTCAACTTAAAAAAAAACACATTCTGTGTGAACGAGCCCTTTACTTGTGTTTTTTTTTTAAGTTGTTCAAATATTTGTGAAACATTGGTTGTTGTAACAAAGACTGTTGAGGTACATTGAAGCGACATCACATGTACGGCAATTCTAAGAAACAAGAAGTGAGTAAAAATAAAAAGAGGGACATGATGACGTTCTCACTTGCTCATTAATACAGTTGTTTATTTTTAGGATTCTGCATGTGTACAGTATTTCCATAGATGTGGTTTAGGTTTCTCTTAGTTGTTGTGCGGTTCACTCCTGTGCTGTATTATAAGTGTCATGTACAAGAGCTTGTTTCATCACTCTGAGAGATCAGCGAACACGATCTCAGCGTGTGAGGCTGCACACTTAATGAGCTGAGGTGTTACCATTTTGTAAATGTCACCATCGTCTACCTCAGCATTTGATCAATCTACAGACCAAAGGTCATCCATGTAGTCAGAGGAAGAGAAGAAGAGTGTCGTTTGTTATTTGATTATTACAAAAGGCCTTGCATTTCCTTACCAGCCACCATCAGCCGAATGCTGTATTCAGAGCAAATCGCGTTGGCACAAAACGTTAATTAGATATCGTTCATGAAATGATTTTCTGAAATGTTTTAGGGGGATGTTTATCTAAGCTACACTTGTTTCAGAATGTTCAGAGAACATTCAAAAGGAACGGTACCATAATGTTTGAATAGTGATAAAATGGAATGTTTCCTTAACGTTTGCATAAACTAAAAAGAATGTTCAGAAATAATATTTTTGTAACCTAATAGGAACTTTAGCAAATCCTTATTAGAACATATTTTTGTTAGCTTGGTACATGCCTCATTTGACTCAAAATATTGTTAGATTTGTTCCCTGATACCACAGCAAATCATCCTCTGCTTGTGTAAATGTTTACCTCAGCAACTATATTTCACATGCCAAGCCAATACCCATAATGTTGGGGCAATCTTTGTGATGTCTATTCAGGTGGGCAACTTAATCAGTCTGGTGCAGCACAGCCCACTCAAATGTCGCTCTCCCGTCGAGGGGGAAAGTGCTGATTTCAGTGGAATGTCACCCCTAATTAATTACCCCCATAAAGCTGATTTATGCCACGATTTGTCTTTGGTGCTGGAGGCTGTACTGATCTTCTCTAATTTACTACAGTCAACACCACACATATGATGTTCAAGCATTCTTTTTATGATATCGGTTAGATTGTGGTTCTCCATGTTGGAGCGGATCACATGGGCAGAGAGTTACACCATTTTCCATGCTGAACTGGAACAATGAAATTCAAGTGGCATAAAGCTAATGCCATCAGACTCTGAAGTGCCTGCACGCACAGCGTGAGTGCAGATATCTGAGCCCTTTAAATCTCAGTTCATTCAACCTGAATGCACCATTCAAAATTTTCACACTCAAGTGGGCACAATGGCAGCATAACAGGGGCTTTATGAGTAAGTGTTCGGCCAGGATAAAAAAACAACATATGGACCGCCCATCAGCAGCAATCCACAGCTACATGGATTAAATTCATCCTCCGTTCTGCTCCCTTCACTTCTGTCAATTATTTCATAGTAGGCACTTTCCATGAATACTTTGGTGGTGTCCCATTATTTATTTATTTAGTTATTTTTGGCATTACAGGCACAAATTCCATTTTTTGTTGAAATGTACTTAACATGAACTATAGCTAAACATGTGTATTCCCTATTCGAAAAGATGACTTTAAAACAATTAACGTCATAATTTGGAAGATCTGTTGAACAGATATTTAATTGTAAAACAAATATTTGGCCGTGTTTCGCATTGTTTCCACATGATTTCCCCATTACAAAAAAATATTTTAGACCCTTTGTACAGCAAGAAAAACATAACAATAAATGACACAAATTTGCAACCATTTTTGCAATTTATATATATTTAAATATGTCAACAATAAATATTATATGAAACATTTTATTTTATACCCATTTCAATCAAATATTTAACCTGTCTAAATAAAAACCCTGATCTGTGTGATTAATTCAAGCAAAATTAAAACAATAATGCGTTTTTGTATATATTTTGTATAATATACAAAATATATACAAAAACGCATTATTGTTTTAATTTTGCTTGAATTAATATATAGATTATATATATTATATATATGTTATACATATAATATATTAATATTATATTATATATTAATATTAATATATAGATTATATATATTATATATATGTTATATAGATGTCAGGTGGCATCCAACTTTCTTCGGACGTTTCGACCCTAAACCACAACGTCCTCCAGTCACTTCCCGTCTTCTCCTGGATTCCAGCTCAACTCCTCCCGCCTATTCCAAAGCTAACAAGAGGTGAGCCTGCTGCCTCCCCCAACCAGTGCATAGCTGTCTTCATCTCCTATTCTGCAATTCCCAAAGCTTTGAACATCTTCCACACAGATTGTGCAGGGAAACCCCTGCAACCAACCTCAATTGGAAATAGCCAGACCTTCCACCTTTTTTCCCTGCATTGCTGGAAAACGCCCTGGTACTTATTGACTTTCCTCTCAGAGGCTTCTTTGCATCCATCTTCCCATCTATCTTCAATCATGATGATACTCCTTCCCTCCACATAACTTACACACTGCGTCCTCCCTCATTCCCTACCTGAACAAGTTTGCTGGTAATGGAAGAGTATCATCAGTATCACAATCTCTCTGCCTGTGCCTCTGCTACATCAGCTGCCCACTTGCGTCCTGATCTTCTGGTGACCCCTAAATCTCTGTGCAACATCACAGCCCTTTAGCTGTAACTGTCCAGGGCTGTGCTTCCCAAAATCAGAGCAAGCCAAAGTTGATCGTAGTAGGGACCATTGGTGCCAATTGTTCTACGATCAACTTAGTTACAATGCTTTTGGGAAACGCAGCCCAGATCTGATGTTTAGCCCTACTGACGTGAAACTTGGTGGAATTCCGCGCCACCTGCGAAGGTGTGTATTCATTCGCCTCTCAAGTCCTTCCACTAACGTCATGAGCACTTCAGTAGCCACATAAGTCTTGGTAGCAGACCATGCTGAAAGAGCCAGGTCTTGAACTTGCCTGGTAAGCCTGAACACTTTATCTTCCTCAGACATTCTTCTGCTGGTCTCTCTGTTCTAGATACACTACTTCCGTCATTAAGAGAGGCATCATACCACATCCCTATAGGCTTTTGACTGGGTCTTCCTCTGTTGATGGTATAACCTCTCTCTGGACTTGTAGTTGGAACTTGCTAGTCACTTTCCCGTTTCTGATCACAATACTTCTTGAATTCCTTGGTTTGAACCTAATTCTTGCCCATGCTGCCACATCATCAAGTTCCTTTTGGATCCACCTAGCTTCCTTAACTTCCTCAGGGCTGGTCAACCTCCCGGATCTTGCTTCTCCCAACAGAGTTTTGGTTAAACTATATAGATCCTTCATAAACTGAGCTCACTTGGCCTCCTTCTCCTTTCTCAATCTCTATGACCTTTCTACCCTTCTCATGTTACACAGGTTGCAAGTTGACATTTTATGAAGTTTAAGCATCTTTTCACCGACTATTTGTTGTAGAAAAAATATTTACACCATATTCATATAAAAGTGCCTCATTTTACAATTTAAGATGACTCAGGAGTGACTTTTAGTTGGTGATTAGTAGTAATTCAGCAAGGGATTATGGGAAAGGCCATGGTCTGTGATGGCAGGTGAGACCTATAGGGTTTGAGGTACGAGTTTGGGTACGATTTTATTTTGTTTCATGGACAAGTTGTATACTTTATGTTTAAATACTGTGAACATTGTTTGCAAAAAAAAAATAGGAAAACGCCACATTACATACTGTATATCAGTGGTGTATCGCGGTTCAAATGTTATGGGAAGGAGGCGGGAACCAGCGAACATTTAAAGATTTTAATAAATAAATAAACAATTACAAAAATGAAAGTATAAGCCAGCAACCCTTCGCGGACGACTGCTGGCTACACAAAACAGAAACAAAACACAACATAAAATCAGGCCTGTTCCTCTCTCGCTCTCCACTGTCGTCGCTCCTCCTTTTATGCTTCCGCTCCTCCGTGAGAGATACGAGACCGGTGCGTCGCTCAGGTGTCGCTCATTAGTAATCACGCCACTGGCCTCGTGCTGTCCTCCCACGGTCCTCGACCTCGTCCTGCTCGCCACACACCCCCATCGCCCCCGAGGAGTACCCACGAGACTGCGCTCTACCCCCCACCCCACCCCTCCGGGGGGACCGATCACAGAGGCCGCGGTACCTGGGGGTATGGATAGACGAGGCGAGAGAAAAGGAGACGGAAGCATGAGGAGCGACAGAGACGAGAGAGGGGAGAAAGGAAAAAAAAATCTTGGTCCGGTTCCCACAACGCACTGCCATCTGGTCCTCCACCAGCTGGGCGATCTTCTCCGCGGTGCCTGGTGGTGGCGCTGGATAGCCCTCGGTGGACGGCTCGACACTCCTCCACCACCTGGTGAATGGCGACAGCTCCTCTGGGTTTGGGCAGACGGCAGTAGTCCCCCGTTCCCTGCTCCTCCCCATCATGGCGGATGGCAGCAGGCTCCGGCCCACGGCGAACGGCGGCGACTCGTCTGCTCCCTCATGGACGGCAGCCGCCCCTCCAGCACCTAGGTGGCTGGCAGCGAGCTCGACCGCCCCCCCCACCCCGGCAACTCACTCCAGTGCACCGCCTCGAGCGTCCATGGTGACGGAATCTGCCCACCATGCTCGATGGCACCGTGGATTCCCCACAGCGGCGAGGACTCTTTGACAGCACGTTACTCCTTCTTCCCGGGTTTCGGCACCAGTGTAACGACTGCTGTCACATATAATAAAACAAAACACAACATAAAATCAGGCCTGTTCCTCTCTCACTCTTCACTGTCATCGCTCCTCCTTTTATGCTTCCGCTCCTCCGTGAGAGATACGAGACCGGTGCGTCGCTCAGGTGTCGCTCATTAGTAATCACGCCACCGGCCTCGCGCCGTCCTCCCACGGTCCTCGACCTCGTCCTGCTCGCCACAAGTGATTTCTCAGAATCCATTTCAATGTAGAATAGTTTTTCAATATGTTACTCAAGCTACTTCTCTGATTGTTTATACCAATACAGTAAAAAAACAAAAACATTTTCATTAACCTTTTTGTTTTAAGTTGCATTGTGGGATTGTTGTTATGTTTCCAGGACAGGGTCCAGGTGGTAAACGGGGCATTATCCATCAGCAGTCTGACCCTGTCAGATACTGGGATGTACCAGTGTATCGCTGAGAACCGTCATGGCCGGGTGTTTGCCAACGCTGAACTCAGAGCCATTGGTAAGTGATCACTAAATTCATAGTAACTAAAGATCAACACAGGCTCATTGGAAAAACATGCCTCTACCTACGTACGCAAAACATTCTCATCCCAAGGCGTCATCTAACTGACACTTTTGACCATGCGTCAACATGCCGACGCACATGGTACCCTTTAAGCGTCAATATGAGACGCTCATCCTCGGGCGTCATCTAACTGACATGGCACCCTTTAGCGTCAGTTAGATGACGCTTCCGTTATGGGTAGGTTTAGGTCTGGGGTAGGGTTAGGGTTAGACTTAGACCACTAGGAGGCGCGTCTCATATTGACGCTTAAGGGGTACCATGTGCGTCGGCATGTTGACGCATGGTCAAAAGCGTCAGTTAGATGACGCCTTGGTATGAGAACGGGCTGACGTACGAGTCACAATAAAAGAGCTCAAAGACTTGCAATACATTCAACAATTAATAAAACGTTGGCAGATTCACATTCATCTGTTTCAGATAAAATTGAACGCACATTTAATGCCAATCCCTGGACATTTCACTTTGAAAGTGTTGTGAAACATGCAAGACGGCGCAATGTAAAGTTTTGCAGAAATGTCGCCACAGGCACATTTTTCCAATGACCATGGGTTCCTAACAATGTAGCTCCTCAACTGTTCTTATGCTCTGAAATATGTAGCCAATATGCAGTGGGACATATGCCATTATACAGTATGTTTCCAAATTTAAGGTTCGTTTTGGTTTTAGAGCAGCAGTGCTGTGTAGCAGCACTTGGGTTTTGTTCCCTCATAAGCTCATTCCAACCATATTGTCAGTGAACGCCACCACCCATTAGTCTTACCATGCCCTTTTGCGCTGCATTTAAAAACAGTTGACCCGCTATTATGAGGAGCAGAATAACTTTTGACAGGATCAATGATCAAACCCATCTCTGCGGTGAAGATTAAAGGAGTTGACGTTCAAGGCCATTTTATCATGCGGCAGACGAAAGAAGTGCTCTGTTCCCTAGTCCTGTCATTTGTCAGCACAATGGGTGCTTTGATGCTGTCAGCGCTGAGTGCAGATGGATGCCAAACAGGCAGGAAAGTCTAGTATGCTGAAATTGCTGCCTGGGGGAGATGTGAGGTAGACGGTCTTCGCACTTTAGAGCCTTTAGATTTGTGCTGGCTGGCTTGACTCGGTTTGACTTAGTGGTGTGTGGGGGATAGTGTGAGCTCTTGAGTGTGCTCTTCAGTGAGTATATCGCATTAAAAACATCCTCCTCACCCGCCGCTGGAAAGTGAGATGACGATGAGATTTAGCTAAGACGGAACCAGATAGAGATGTAGACATTTGACAGGTTGTGTGGAAGAACACGGGTCAGTGACATAACACTAATTGTTTTGTCCTGTTTATTAGTTCACTCAAAAATACACTAGCATTCAAAAGAAAAATAAATCAATTACTAATTTTTGTCAGCAAGAATGGATTAAATTGATCAAAAGTTACAGTATAGACTATAAGACTTTAAAGTTTTGTAATACTGTTATAATCAACTCGATTTCATAAATGCTGTTCGTTTGAAATTTCTATTCATCAAAGAATAGAAGCAAAGCATGTAAGCAGCACAACTGTTTTAAACATTGATATAATAAGAAATGTTTCTTGAGCAGAAAATCATCATATTAGAATGATTTCTGAAGGATCGTGTGACACTGAAGACTGGAGTAATGATGCTGAAAATTCAGCTTTGACATCACAGAGATAAATTACATTTTAAAATATATTAAAATAGAAAACAGTTATTTTAGATTGTAATAATATTTCACAATAATACTGTTTTTACTGTATTTTTGATCAAATAAATGTATTCTTTGTGAGGGTAAGAGACGCAAAAAAAAATTCACAGGAATAAATGACATTTTATAATATATTCAAAAATAGAAAACTGTTATTTATAATTGTAACTTTAAATCATATTTCACATTATTACCGTTTTACTGTATTTTTGATACCTTGGGAAGCAAAAGAGATTTTAGATACACTTTATTTTAATGTGACGTTGTTACAGTGTAATTACATAAATAAGTATTGAGAAGTTTTATTTAACTACATGTACTTATTGTAGGGTGAGAGTTTGGTTTAGGCTTAATTGCTTGTAATTGTGCACAATTTACGGTAAATTGTGCACAATTACAAGCAATTAAGCCTAAACCAAACTCTTACCCTACAATAAGTACATGTAGTTAAATAAAACTTCTCAATACTTACTTATGTAATTACACTGTAACAACTTTAATTCAAGTCACAGTAGTATGACGTGAATTTTTAATGTACATTACCATTCAAAAGGTTGGGGTCGGTTCATTTTTTTTTTTAAAGAAAACGAACCGACCCCAACCTTTTGAATGGTAATGTACATTAAAAATGCACGTCATACTACTGTGACTTGAATACACCTCTTCTATGATGAGCGTATTTCAATTCCTAAATTAAAATTTGGTATTATTTTGGGGGAAGTGAACAGGTACAAATCTCAGAGCGATACAACTGTCCGATTGTTGTAATGAAGAAAAAAAAGCTTCATTAGAAGAATCAAATTATTGCTAATAATTTTTTTTGAAATAATGAAACAACAATATAAATAATATTAGAAAAATATTGTTTCTGTATATTCCGAGCCACATTTGGTGTGACATGTCTAGAAAATATGAAATATTTTGTTTGGTCACTGTTCTTGAGCTGTTTCTCTTCAAAACGAATGATACTTTTTGATATTTTCCTTTGTAATGCAGACATTGTACGTGCTTTTTAAAACACTTTTAGGAGTCATTCTTTCTTTCTCTCTGTCAGTTTTGTAAGATGCTTGTTTTTCTCTTCACATCAGCAGTGGCACCAGATTTCTCCAACAGTGTGCTAAAGGCACAGACATTGGCTCGGCAGGGTGGAGATGTTTTGATTGAGTGCAAGCCTCGCATGTCTCCACGCGGGATGATCTCCTGGAGGAAGGGCAAAGAAGCCTTGCGAGAAAGCCACAGGTATTTTTACCAACCCATTTCCCTTTGTCTGCCAAGAACCTGTTTATTAAAGTGATACAGAGAGAGCAATATGATTCAGGTCAGGCGGAGGGTTGTTACTGATCAAAGGTTATTCACATCAAAACGTCTCAACACAACAGCCGCTGCATTTGCATATACTTCATCTTAAAAAGAAAAAAACACCTTTTTCACAGCACAGAATAACATCAAAAGTGCTTGAACAATCAACCAACCTCTGATCGTTGAAGCTGTTTTATAAACTATTTGAATTTAGTAGAAAATTCAGTCTTCCCAATGTTGTTGTCCAACATTAAATCTTATTTTTATATATTTTTAGATGGTTGGTTGAAATGTCTAAATCTCTGATGCATAAATGATTAAATCACAAAATGTATTAACGTTTTTAATAATTTTTTTAATTAATTAATTTTATTAATTAACTTTCTTCAGATTTTTTTTTTTTTTTTAAGAGTCTGTCCAATGTAGTAATTATCCAATGTAGCAAGTCAGTGGCAGTCTGTAAGCAAATAATAATTATGAACTTTTACAGTGAAATAACAATAAAAGCATGAATCTTTATTTTTAAGCATTGTGTTACCAAAATATCATTCTAAAAACCGCATTGTTATTTTATTTGAAATATTCTGATCTTTTGTCAGCCATTTATGTATGTAAAACAGTTATTTTAAACTGTAATAATATTTCAAAATACTATAATTTTTACTGTATTGTGGATCAAATAAATGCAGCCTTGGAGAGCAAGAGACTTCTTTCAAAAACCAAAACTTTTGAACACTCGTTCGGGCTGCACGTAAATCCGCTGGAAGGTTGCTTTCCTGTCCCACATCACACATGCGCACTTCAATAAGCCGACAGAACACGGGCAAAAACGGGTTTTGCGCGTTTACATGACCACATGCATTGTCGGCTTATTAATATAATGTGCATGTAAACGACAGCTTGGAACCACCTCTCAGACACTGTTATGCCTCCAGATCAATGACTTAAGTTTGAATGTAAGGCGGTGCATCACAGGATTCTCATTAGCATACACTTCAGATGAATCCACTGAGGAATAAAGCAGTATGACGCTGTCTCCATGGAGAGAGTACCTGTGAACTCTTGAGTCTGGAGCCACTGTAAGAAAATCATTAGTGGCCATCACTGTCCATCAGCCTTGTACTAACATCCACCCACAATCTACAGCTCTGAGGGACAGGGTCTCTCATTAAACACTGCTGCACTACTGGGAGTGTGTTTGAGAGAGAGAGAGAGAGAGAGAGAGAGAGAGAAAGAACAGCTTTTTCAGGCTTCTTCTATAATGATCATGCGGGAAGGGAAAATGTTGCTTTCATTTCTTTATGGCCAATTTGGCTTTTATATGTAGTACTTGTTAGAAATCTGCTGACTGTACTATGCAAATATGATTGTAGCCAGTTTCCAGCTTTTCACGTTTGTGCATAAATAAGGAAAAGTTGCACAAATGTATTCATGCATAATTATACTTTTTGTTCACTTTTCATCAGGATCCTGTCGCTTCGGCTGACAGATATTAAAAATGCATTGCAGTGAAATTGCTGGTAACGCGTTACAGTGAAGTTTCAATTTGTTGACATTGTTTAGGGCATAATGACAACCACAACAAATTTTACTGCCTATTTAAATCTAAGTTAATGTTAATTTATAAATATTGTTAATTAATGTTTGTTCATAATAAATTAAAAAAATTGTTTGTTGTTATTTCATGTTAGATATTGCATTAACTAATATAAATAAAACATATTCATAGTTTTCAGTCACGTGACCTGGAGGGCAAAACCTTCATAGAACTGCAGGACAGGCCTGTCAATTTTCCATCTGTTTCAACTTTCAAAGCATGCATTTTTAGATCACCTCTCGGAAGAAGAAAAACAAAAATATTGAACAAAAGGCAAGTTTTTGGGCACTTGTGATCCATAAAAAGCACCTGTTGCAGTATTTCAATCAATAAAAAAACATTCCGGGATCATTCTAAGTGCCTTAATGTACCAAAACAGTGATGTTAAAAGATCAAATTCAGTAAACACCTTATTGATGATTCATACTATATACGGGCGAGCAGATGAGCCCAGAATATGAACGCAACGCACAGAGTGCTTTCTTTATAATGGTTTTCTATGGCAAAGCACTACTTTTCGGCCTAAGCTTTTCCGGGTCAGTACATCGACCTTGGGTTGATTCGCCAAGTGTATAGTGTAAATGCAGATATCGCATATGGGTCACTTTAAAAAAAAGAAAAAAAAGATGCTGGTCGTCAAAAACAAATATGAGCCGCATTTCCACCGCAGGACCTCTCCAGGAACTAGGAACTTTGGAGTGGTACTCGGTGTGTTTCGACCGCAGGAACCAGGGTCTAAATGAAGTTACAGGTAAAAATTGTCAAGTCAAGTCACCTTTATTTATATAGCGCTTTTTACAATACAGATTGTATCAAAGCAGCTTCACAGTGATAACATGAAAATAATACAACAAAGTTTGTTTCTGAAAGAGAATTGCGTCAACGTCCACCTTAAGTAAGGCAGATCAATAATATTATTGAATATTAAATGTCCCCAACTAAGCAAGCCAAAAGCCAAGGCAACAGTGGCAAGGAACCAAAACTCCATCAGGGACAGAATGGAGAAAAAACCTTGGGAGAAACCAGACTCAGTCGGAGGGCCAGTTCTCCTCTGGCCAACGAAGGAACAGTGTATGATTCGGGGAGCGTTACAAGTCAGATTGGATCGGAACATTTAGGGTGTATTCACACCAGGAAAGTCTGATAGTTCACTTGCTTTGGTCCGGACCAAATAAAAAAAAATGTTGTTTGTTTTTTGGTACGGTTCACTTTCACACTGCTCTTTTTGCAAGTGAACCAAAATTTGTAAACAAAACCACACGTGTGCTAAGGTCGTCCATTCATTGGACAAGGATTCTCAAGTAGGGCAATCAGGAAGTGCAAAAAAGGCTTAACGTAAATTAACGCAGCATCATCCTTGTATTGTAACTATCGTTACATTATTTGAACTGCAAATGCTTTTTTTTTTGCATCTATGCGCGATTAGACTAAAGAGAACCCTCTGTATGTGAATGTCCTGATGCACACACTCATTCATTCATTCCATTCCAATGATGCACACACGACGCGCAGAAAGACGCGCAACAGATGTAATGTAGTAGGCTACAACAGATCACTTTCCCATAACGCAACTCCGACTACGGAAGCCTGTTAACTCAAAGGCGCAGTGCTTTCTTGCAATTGGGTCGGTTCATGTTCACACCGTAAACGAACCGTACCAGAGTTCGTTTGGAACCGTACCGAGACCACCTCTTCAGCTGGGTCTCGGTTCGGTTGTTTGGTCCGCACTCAAGTGTGATTGCTGTATTCACACCTGCCCAAAAGGTCCGCACCAAGGGGGGAAATGAATAGAGTTCGATTCAATCGAACCAAACAAGGCAGGTGTGAATACACCCTTAGAGTATTTATCCATTTCCATCTTTTTGGAAGTCGAAGTTATCACGCCGGTATGGAGACGAGTTGTTGAGGATCAGTGCCGTCCACCATAGTTGGTCCATATCGCCGACGTTGAGTCGTCTCTTCACAGGCTTTGTGACATCTGAAGTCTCCGTGAGAGGCTGGACACAAACTGGAGCTGATGAACGCCATTTTCCTCGGGACTCGCGTCCCGAGACAACAGCAGAAAGGCAAAAAGGGAAAATAATTAGCATAGCTGCTGTTCAAAATGATTTCCATAACACGAGCGTAGATGATAAAAACATGAAGACAGTGACTCTTGCGTCCCAGAGTCACCCCCCTTCCGTCCCCCACTCAACTCAGCCCAGCTTACTGACCTTTACATCCCTCCTGCTGCTGAGACCTAGCCACAATCTCACAATTGTCCAAAAAGTTCCAAAAAGCTCGTGAGGTAGTACTTTTTCAAAGTTCTGGAACTTTCAGGGGTGGGACTTAGGCGTTGAACATGCTGATTGGTTGACTCCACGCAGCATATCGTTTCAACCACCCTTTTTAAAAGTCTGCTTTTGGTAAGAGTTGTTTGCTATTCGAATCCAAAATGGAGTTTAAAAAACAAAGTGTTGCAGGTAATTTGGGTGGAAACGCGGCTATAGTCACCAAATCGGAATTGGGCATCAAGACCTGTAGTGTAAATGCGGTTTATAACGGCTTCTTTTAGCAATAAAAGTTCCACGTTATCGTCTGCTTGATGGAAGAGTAATTTTGGCCTCAGCTGGAGTAAAACTTTCGAAGATAATACATGAAATGACATTCCTGCTGAAAGCTCTCATGCCAACATGATTCCATTTCTAAAAATTCTACTTACTGAACTCTTGGCATGGCAAACATTGGCATGCTCATAAAAAAAGGTCTGTTTGCCTCGGTGGTGGGAGCAGATTTGTCGTCTTCTGCTGTGAAGGAGACCACTGCATAGTGAAAGGTCACGGTGTAAATGAAGCACATCCCGTCCTAAGACTCTTCGCTATTTTTCATTGCTTTGGCCCCTGCACTATATGAATAAAAGCTAATTTTCACTTTTTCTTCTGCACTTAGCAGAACATGTAGATTTTGTTAAGCTTAAATTTGTATTTTGGGAGGCAAAATCAGTCTGTTTTTCAATGTTATGATTATTTTATGGTGCTTTTTCGAGCTTGGCCGTTCCAGTCAAAAAAGCTGTTCACCTTTTGTGTTTCACAGAATAAAGGAGGTATAATAATACAGGTTTGGAATGGCATGAAGGTGATTCAATAGTGACAGATTCACCAGAACAATGTTGTTATGTGATGTGAAAAGCCTTGGCAGTGCCGAATAAACTACTGAAGAATCCTTTGAGGAAAGAGCTTGAAAGTGAATATATCAGAGCTATTTTAGCAGAGCAAATGTGTTTGGCTTTTCAATGTTTCATTTCACGTGATTGTAAAAACACAAATACCCAATAATGGGAGATACAGTTGTAAAATATACAGTACATACAGATTATTTTATAATATAATGCACATTTATAATACAAATAAAATGACCCAACATGTGAATTTAAAATATGTCTTGTATAATTGTTTAATGATGTCTTATTATTTACGTCCTATCGCCTATTGATCTCTGTGTCCAGACTAAAGTTCATTGATCTTCAGTTAGTTATACTAATATAATAACCGTTTTTTATATAGTGTGTATGAATGAGTTGCAAGGCTTTCATCATGTCACTTTGTTGTCTAGAGTCTCCGTGCTGGATAATGGCAGTCTCCGGATATCCAACATCACCAAACTAGACGCAGGTCTTTACACTTGTGTGGCGAGAAACCAGTTTGGAGTGGCAAGCAGTGCAGGCACACTAGTGGTGAAAGGTATGCTGGGACATTTTAAGTTGAAAGGATGCATTAAATTGATTAAAGGTGACAACAAAGACTTTTAAAAGATTTCTTTCTTTTGAACATTATATTTATCAAACAATCCTGAAAAAAATGATCACGGTTTCCAGAAAATATTAAGCAGCTCGACTGTTTTCAACATTGATGATGATAATAATAAATGTTTATTGAGCATCAAATCATCATATTAGAATGATTTCTGAAGGATCGTGTGACACTGAAGACTGGAGTAATGATGCTGAAAATTCAGCTTTGACATCACAGAGATAAAATACATTTTAAAATATATTAAAATAGAAAACAGTTATTTTAGATTGTAATAATATTTCACAATAATACTGTTTTTACTGTATTTTTGATCAAATAAATGTATTCTTTGTGAGCGTAAGAGATTTTTTAAAAATCTTACCAACTTCAAACTTGTTAACGGTAGTGTATAATATAATAAAAAGTTGAATTAAATAATATTTTGTACGACATAAAATAATGATATAATACAGTCTTTGCCACTATGAGAGTAAAGCGCAAGCTTCTTATCTTATCTCCACACTCTCTAGATGAACTGTGCTCGTGGTTAATGGGAAATTGATTTATTCGGCGAGCATTAGAGATGCATGATATGTGTGGGAACAACTGTGCTGTGTTTCATTAGAGCTTAGATCCATCTAAAACAGCCTTTTTTGCAATTTTCTTCATTCTTCACCCATCTGACAAGACGACGTAATAATACCAGCATTCTATTAGAACAGCAGTTTGGTGGTCCCTCTTGTCTTCGAAATCGGTTTCTATAGAAACTCTCTGGTTTCTTCTCTCGCTCTCATTTTCACATGAAAGCCTGAATGCTGAATACATGTTCATTTGACATGTTAATTTGCTAACAGTTTAAGTAAAATTGCCCCAGCAAAATTCACGTGTTTGCCTTATTAAAAAGACATCTCTGCAAGAGGTTCACAGCAAAGTGCGTGATAAAGCATGAATAATTCAGCACAGGGGAATCCAGAGATTACTAATCAGTAATGATTCATTCCGTAAATTAAAGCTAAACCAGCTGTTTTATTAATATGCAATATTGTTGTTTTTGTCATCTTGACCCTTTCATTGACACCCCTTAAATAAAACAAATACATCAGAGGAATACCAAACAGGTGTGATGATATAGCAAATAGATAGATAGATAGATAGATAGATAGATAGATAGATAGATAGATAGATAGATAGATAGATAGATAGATAGATAGATAGATAGATAGATAGATAGATAGATAGATAGATAGATAGATAGATAGATAGATAGATAGATAGATCAGTCTACAGATACACTCTTTAAAATAAAGATATATTTTGAAAGGTTAGGTTTATTGGAGATTTTTTTTAGGGGGACATTAAGAATCATTGATTATATGAGGAGTCATTTATTTCAGAAGATGGAAATCTAACAGCACAGTGACATCTAGTGGTGGCAGAAGTGTGCTGATCAATGCACCGCCTTCCTCAGCTAAAAAAATACGGCTTGACTAATGGTTAACGTGTAACATCTTGAGCTACTAGCACTTTTTTAAGAGCCTGGTCATAATATACTGTAATACAACAACTGCTGTTTTGTGCACCAAGATACTGATGACTAGTAATGTACTGTATCAGCTGTCGTCGTTATTCCAGAGCCAACCATCATCACTTCTAAAGCCACCCAGCTGGACGTTACAGTCGGAGAGAGTGTTGTTATTCCGTGCCAGGTGTCCCGTGACCCCTCCCTGGACGTGAGATTCACCTGGTTTTTCAACGAGCAGTTGATCAGTTTCGGAAGCCATGGGGGATATTTCGAAAAAGTTGGTGGGGTACGTGTCATTCTTGTTGCATGATGTAATATTAGTTTCTGATATTCATGTTTGTCGAATTTGTAAAGACACTGAAAAATCTGAATCTAACAGAAGACCAGAAATATTGTCTTTCATGAAACTGTATATATTATTGTGTGTTTGCTCATAGACATCTGCCGGTGACATTATGATCCGTAACATTCAGCTAAGGCATGCAGGAAGGTACACATGTGCTGTACAGACTAAAGTGGACAGTGCGTCTATAGCAACAGATGTTGTGGTACGAGGTAATGTTTTTCCAAACAAAATTTCATACAAAAAACCCTACTAGGATTAAACTTAAAAGTATAAAACCCACTATGTTAAAAACGCACCGACTAAAAATAAAACAATTGGTCCCACTTTATATTAGGTGTCTACTTTAACTACTATGTGCTTACATAAAAAAAAAAAAGATTGTTAGGTACAGTGTACTTATGGTGTTCAGGTTGGTAACACTTTACTTTAATGTTTATTTGTTACATATGTTACATTTATTTTCTATAGTAATAACTTAAAATTAAGCATAATTAACTTGCAACTAACTCTACACCAAACACTAATCCTACCCCAAACCTATAGTAAGTACATGTACTTGATTAATATTACTATGTACTTACATTTATAGTTACACTGTAACATTAAAATAAAGTGTAACCCAAAATGTGTTTGCTCCTATTGAGGTTGAGTTTAGGGACATGTTTGGAAGTATGGTTAAGTTTAAGCAGTGTTGGGGAAAGTAAAAGTAATGCATTACAATATTGCATTTCTCCCTAAAAATGAACCAATTGTGTTAACTAAAAGTATATTTGTATTATTTAACATACTTAATTATGTTAGTTTGTGTAATATTCTGAGTTTCATTTTGAGGAATACTGGATGTTTTAGTGCAAATGAGATAAATGTAAATGCTCTCATTTAGTCTAGAACTATAATAATCATGTTCACAGCGCACACAACACCACTGTACTTACTCACGTTTCCACTCAACATGGGGACAGGAGAGCTGTCAGTGTTTAAACGGGAAAACAAACTTGTGTTACTTATTTGAAAAAGTAACTAAGATATTTTGTAGTACATTTAAAAGTAATCCATTACTTTACTAGTTACTTGAAAAAGTAATCCGATTACAAGTAACTCACGTTTACTTGTAATGCGTTACACCCAACACTTGGCTTAATGGTGGGTTAAGGGGTAAAGGGAGGGTCAACAGTGTAATTATATATGTATTTACATAAATTAATTACAGCTGTAATTACATGCAGGCATTTTTACATAAGTCCAGTGTAAAAAAATGGTGTGCACAATAAGTGAATTGTATCAAATGATTCATTTAAATGTTATTACAAAATACTTAAAGACACTTCATTTAAACCAGGACCAAAAAAAATAATATCTTTTTGAAGTTTCAAAATCATTTCCTTTACAGGTCCCCCTGACCCACCGCTGGACATCAAAGTTGATGAAGTGACAGAGACAACATCCTTTGTGTCCTGGAGTCCAGGCCCTGATAACCGCAGTCCTGTCTTTGCTTACAACATTCAGATCCGAAGCCCCTTCTCTCTCGGATGGCAGGCGGCCAAAACAGGTGTGCAGGAATTGTTCGTTTTGATTAATATGCAGTTTATCACAATGATGTGCGAGTGTCTTATAGTCACCACTCATGTTTGATTAGTTTGGCATAAGCCCTATAAATTCTTTTCAGTCTTTTATAATTTCTTTATTCATGGTGATATGTCATAAACACTTTTTTTTTTAGACTTATCTATTAGCATATGCTCAGTGTGTTTTCAGACATTCTGACCACAATGTGAACACATTTTCTGCTCATTTCTTCTGTGCTTTCTGTACAACCTCTTTTATATTGCCTTTAAAATATGATTAAGTGTACTGCCGAATGTACTGACATTTATAGTAAACTAAACTTGAATTCTATTGAAACGAGTATACAGCATGTCATGTATTTAAGTATTTTTTGTAATTACGCACTCGCTCACTCAGTATCCAAGTGATTATTTTTGTTCAGCTTTCTTGAAATATCTTAATATCACCTCGTCTTTTCTCAGTGCCAGAGTCTCTGGGAGGGCAACAGCTGACAGCTCGTGTGGTTGAATTGAGTCCATGGGTTGAATATGAGTTCAGAGTGCTGGCCACTAATGCCATAGGCACCGGGGAACCCAGCAAACCCTCACAAAAAATCAGGACCAAGGACACATGTACGTAATATATGTAGTTACTTGTTTACTCCCAGGCTTTTATCATCACACATTAGATCTCAAGGCCACGATTTATCGAAATCAAAGAATGAGCTAGTGTGACATCATTTCGAACAAATGCGGGCAAAACAAAGTTTGCTTGGAGTTTGTTTCTGTATTTCGAAATAGCTTGCCAAAGCACACTTCCGGAAAAGTTGGTTAACACCCTTGAACTACTATTGGTTCGTGGCTTTTATGTCATAAATGGGTGTGGCTCTGAGGCTCCGCCTTCGTTGATGTGAACATCCTCTCTTAAAGTCGGCATGAAACGGAAGTTGAGATTGTCATTTTTTCCTTGTTGTGACGTATATCCGAGTGAAACGGCTTCTGAAATTAGAAAAAATGTAGGGCGGGGCTTGATTTCGTCCTTCGGGAATTGATTGGATCGTTGGAGGTTGGGCGTTGCAAACAAAATGGAGGCAGATTTGAATGTATCTTCTCTGAGAGGCGTTGCACCGATAGCCGCACCCTCATCGGCTCTGGCCGCACCCTTTCGCCATTGCACGTGACCGAAAGAGAAGAGAGGTCGTTTCGAGGGGGGAGGGAAGGGTAATGTATTTGATTAAAGATTATAAGGGTACATGAATAAAAAAAAAATAATGAAGTGCACAGATAAATCATTTATAATAAACACTACAATATTACATATAAAAAGAAGATTTGTCAAATTTGATTTCATGCCGACTTTAAGGGATACTTCAGGATTTAGCATTAAGCTTTGTATTAGTCGAAAACCTGTAGTATTTTCGAATTAACATGCTTTCCACCCTCATATCCCCCTGAAACGAGAGATTTATGTATTTTTTGTCTGGAAAAAATCCTCCGATGACGCAAAAATCGTCATTTTGCGTCATCGGAGGATTTTTTGGCCAGAGGCTAAAGACTACAGCCAGTAGTAGGGGCTGTTCCTCATGTTCTCAACCCGCCCATAGAGGCTGGGATCTCACTCACAGAATGTACACATAGTGTCGGCCATCTTTTTTTGGAAGCTAAGCTATCAGGCTCTTGTTCTGTGGAGAAAGCTGAGTAGTAGGGGTTACCATCCTCTTTTTCCCGGACATGTCCGGCCGTCGATGTCCGTGATTCAGCTTTTGCTTTCTGCAGTCGCCGTTCATTGTTTACATGCACACCTTTTGTTTCAATCTAACTGAATTCATTCCGATTGGTGAATCTGAATGTCGTGTTTACATGAACGCTAAACAAGTGATCGGTTGATGTGCGTTTTAACATTGCTAAGAAAATTCCCGCTCCTCCGTGAGAGATACGAGACCGGTGCGTCTCACAGGTGTCGGCCACTCATCGGTAATCACGCCACCGGCCTCGCGCCGTTCTCCCGCGGCCCTAGCCTCGTCCTGCTCGCCACAGTGAACATAATGAATGGCGACTGTAGAACGCAAAAGCCGAATCCCGCACATATTGGGCGATCTTGAAACACATTTTCGGGCAGACTCATCACGGAGACTCACTAGTAGCCTAGACTTGTTGTTTAACTACTGCGCTCTGTTACCGGTAGGCGTGGCCTCCTAGGGCAGCGAAGCAAGTGCATTCTGGGAGTTGTTGTCTTTCATCCACATAAGCCAAAAAAACATTTTCTGTCTTTTCTCGGTCTAGAAAGCTCCAAATTCAAAAATAATTTCACATTTCTTCTACATAAATGACCCATTTTAAATACACATTCATCTTTCCAGAGGTGAAGTATCCCTTTAATTTCTTCTGTTCAGTCCGTCGAGGTCAGATGTCCGTGACCAAACAAGAGACAGAGTAAATACTTTGCATTGTATCGACAATTTATATAGAAAAAACACAGAAAGAACCCATCTGTGAAATGAGATACTAGTAACACTTCCGCAGATATACTGTATCAACTGAAAAATGCTTAGCGTTTTCTGACTAAAAAGCCTTCATAAGGTTTGGTAAAGTTTACAGGTTTGCTATAATAGTACAAGGCACTTCTACAACATCTGATAAGACTGACATACTCTTCCAACCATACTATATATTAAACCTTTTTATTCAAAACCAAGTAGAAGAAAGGGACCAAGTAGCAGCCAGGAAAGTGTCTCTGTGGCATCATGCTAAACAGATGGAGTGGGGAAAAATGCCCTGTCTGCACTTCTGGTGTTTCTCATCTTGTAAAACTGGCGTAAAAAGTATTTATTTTTTTCTTACAGTGCCAAGGACGACCCCAGCCAGAGTCAGCGGAGGAGGTGGCAGTCGCTCTGAGCTTGTCATCACTTGGGAGGTAACAAAACAAGCTCTTGCTCACACATTTAAGTGCACAAAAGTAGCTGTGAATGGTGGACCGTCCACTGGCCTGTATCTAAAACACCCATCATGCTGTCAGCTTGGTTGGTCTGTAATTGAACTTTTTTTTAAAAGACAGACACTCTTCAGTGAGGCAGACAAAATGTTTATGGATTTTAGCAATTATGTTTCAAAATGTGAAAAGCGAAAAAAATATGTTCAAGGACCGTGAAAGGGATTTTCCATAGTCCGTTTATACTGAGACGAAGCCTCTTGTATTACACTGCTGTGATATAATGATACATCTCTCTTTCACTTGCTCTTTCTTTGTTGTGTTTGTGTCTGTGGGTCGTTGTGTCTCTCCAGCCAGTCCCAGAAGAGCTGCAGTGCGGTCCAGGCTTCGGCTACGTGGTTGCTTTCCGCCCTCTCGGTGGTCAAAGCTGGATGCAGGCAGCCGTGACGTCTCCTGATGCATCTCGATACATCTTCAAAAATGAGAGCATCCCTCCATTCTCTCCATTTCATGTGAAAGTGGGAGTTTACAACAACAAAGGAGAAGGTCCTTTTGGACCCGTGACCACTATCTACTCAGCAGAAGAGGGTAAAACCAACTTACCAACCTCCATTTATGGTATAAACTCATTAAGTTGAAGATGCAATGTGTAGTTTTCTCAATGATACAATACTTTTTTGTATCAAGTTTAATATGCAGAGACAACTACACCAGCGGTCAAAAGTTTGGAATATTTAAACGAAGTTTCGGTTACACTTTATTTGGTAACACTTTATTTTACAGTGTCCTTGTTACATATGTTACATGTACTTGCCATAGTAATAACAGTAAATTAGGCATAATTACATGGAACTAACCCTAAACCAAACCTAATCCTAACCTTATCCTATAGTAAGTACATGTTGTTAATTAATATTACTCAGTACTTAAATGTATAATTACATTGAAACAATTACAGTGTAATTATATATTTAAGTACTGAGTAATAATAATTAACTACATGTACTTACTATAGGATAAGGTTAGGATTAGGTTTGGTTTAGGGTTAGTTCCATGTAATTACGCGCAATCTATAGTAATTAGTACTTTAATAATTGCATGTAACGTGTAACAAAGTGTTAAATTCTCTTGTGCTCACCAAAGCTGCAAAATGAAAAATGCTGCAAAATGCAACGGTCAAAACAGTAATATTGTAGTTTTATATTGGAATACATTTTAAAATGTAATTTATTCCTGTGATCAAAGCTAAATTTTCAGCATCATGACTCCAGTCTTCAGTGTCACATGATCCTTCAGAAATCATTCTAATTTGCTGATTTGATGCTCAAGATACATTTATTATAATTCTCAATGTCGAAATATAGTTTTTGCTACTTCATATTATTGTAGAAACCCATGATAAACTACCATTAAAAAATGTTGGGTAAGTACAATTTAAAAAAAATAATAAGAATACTTTGATTCAGCAAGGATGCATTTAATTGAACAAAAGTGACAGTAAAGACATTTATAATATTACCAAAAATATATATTTTAAATAAATGCTGTTCTTTTGAACTTTCTATTTATCAAAATTAAAAATAGAAATTTTTCATTTTGATTAAAAATTAAAAATTTAATTTAATTTTAAAAATTTACCCCCCCCCCCCCCGCCCCCCCCCCCCCCCAAAAAAAAGATTTAACATATGTATAATAAATGCAGCAAAAATGGTTTCAACATTGATAATAATGTTTCTTGAGCATCAAATCATCATATTAGAATGGTTTCTGAAGGATCGTGTGACACTGAAGACTGGAGTAATGATGCTGAAAATTCACAGGAATAAATTACATTTTAAAATATATTCAAATACAAAACATTTTCTTTACATTTTAACAATACTTTTACAATATTACTGTTTTTACTGTATTTTTCATATAAATGCAGCCTTGCTGAGCATAAGAGACTTCTTTCAAAAGCATTTTAAAAATCCTAATTAATTCAAACATTTGGTCCGGTAGTGTATAAATAAGCCATCCGTAAGTCCAGTCCCTCAAAAAGTATAAACACTCTGTGGGGTGCTCCCAAACACTCTTTGTGTGAGTGATCCAGGCTCACTCAATGATGTTTGTACAATGAAAGACAGTGCTAGTGGACCAGAAAATACTTTTAAGTATAAACGGGTATATGAAATGTTCAAACTCATTATGCTCAACATTATATACTGTAGCTGCAGTGTTGTTTAGTGTTTAGGAAAATTGAACGTACTGAACAACATTTGCTAGTGCATCATTGCTCTAATTATGAGCCTAAAGACATTACAGTAATGATTATTCTGCCCATAGAGCCGAGTCGCGCCCCCAGTCGCATCCGTGCCAAGAGCCTGTCAGCCTCAGAAGTGGAGGTCAGCTGGAAGCCTTTATCCTGGAGCACCAGTAGGACACGCATCATGGGCTATGAGGTGAGGACAGCAACACTAAAGAAGGCCAATTCTATTAAGATTAAGTAATATTTTCGGGAATTTAGGTAAGATCTTTGGTTTAGGGAAGTGAGATTTTCACATTATTAGAAATATATTATTAATAGGCTAGACAGACACCACAGCTGAACGAACGACACTTTGTGATGCTGATCATGACATCTAGTTGACTGTGAATTTCAGCTGAGGTACTGGAGCACAAAGGATAGAGTGGACACGGCTAGTGTGATGAGGACTGTGGGAAACAGGACGTCTGCGGTCATTCGTGGACTGGACCCCAGCAGTACATACCACATCAAACTCAAAGCCTATAACAGTGCTGGTGTGGGACCTGATAGTGCCGTGGTGAATGTCACCACTAAGAGACCCCGTAAGTGTGACGTGAGCCTTGGCCATTGGGTTATTCTCTATAAACATAACCTAACTTTAAAAAAGAATTGTAATTATTTATTTATTTTAAATGTGCCAAAAACCTGTTAATGTGTTAACATTAAGTTTTCTGTTCCATCTTATGTTGTTAAATTAAGGTTTATTGCATTATTTTAGTGTTGTGTGTTACCATGTTGGTATTTTGTATTTGTGTGACTACACTGTGTGCACCCTTTATACCCAGACAGCACCATAGTGTCGGCCCAGATTCGGCCCACATCTGGTAAGTGGGCCAGATCTGGGCCGACACTATGTTGCTGTCTGGGTATACTAGTATTTACCTCAGCTCGTGCAAAATCTACTTGTGGTAATCTTTGATTCATCATGTGGTTTTCTCTTTACCACCAGTATGGTGTTATTATGGTGGATGTCAGTAGATGTTAAAAGTACAAAACAGATTTTAGTAGCAGTGTGGCCTTGCTAATTCAGCAGAAAGTGCTGTTGGATTTACCGGTTTATTTGTTTTGTGTAAATTACAGGTTTAAATTGGAAAATTTACAGGTTTTTTTGTAAATATATTTACATTTTTAATGTATTTTTACTTTATTTTTACAACCACAGCTGCCAGTTTTCTTCTGTAAATTTTTTTTTTACAGTGCATATTTCAGGGATTGTTTCGATGTTATCATTAGTAAGGAAAGTTAAAGGCATAGTTTACTTAAAAATGTAAATTCTGTCATCATTTACCCATCCTCACATCGTTTCAAACCCATAAGACTTTCTTTTATCTTCGCAACACAAATGAAGATGTTTTAATGAATCCCGAGAGTTCCCTTTCGTTGTCACTCCGAGTTCCGTCGGATGACGACGAATGGGGGTTTCGCTTAGAAAGCCAATCGACTTCGAGTACTACAAAACGAGCCAATGGCAAAGAAATGCCATGGGTCTGCGGAATTTGCATAGCGTAACTCCGCCTCACCTCGTGGGTATTTAAGGAGAACGCTGGCAGCAAATAGGCATGTTTTTGCTTCGGAGCCAAGTTGATCCTTCGTTCCACAAGCCATTCCTGTACTGTCAGTTCTTCAAGACGAGCGAGATTCTCTGGTGTTGGTGTGACGGCGATCTCCGGCGAGCGCGCACTTCCTGCCTATCTGTCTGTGGTTTGACAGCGAGTGTGTTTCTCCCCGGGCGCTTCAACACAGTCAGAGTTTCTTTCCTCTCACAAAAGAGCTTGCACGCGGCACGTCTTTTTAAAGATGCCTCGCCCGTGCACTTCTGGTTGCGGTAGACTCGTTGCCGACTCTGATGGGCACGAGCGTTGCATAGTGTGTTTGGGCATTGATCACGCTAGAGCAGCGCTCGTGGATGACTCATGTTCTCTCTGCGGGAACATGACCATCGCAGCACTACGATCGAGACTCAGTGATCTCGCAAGAGTGAGAGTCCCCTCATCCACACCCCGATCTACTGACTCTAGAAATAGAGCTAATACTTCGGCTGGTGGCCAGGGTGATCTGAGGGTGACGGTTTGGAACAAAGCGCCGACTATCAGTCCGTGCCCAGCCGCACCCTCTCCAGTGTTGCAACCCGTGAGTGCTCAGGGGATTTCTGCGGGATCATCTTCGGGTGTCCCGCGGGTTTCCTTTGGCGCTCCAGAGGAGGACGCGATGTCTATCGCGGCATCACAAGGTGGGTCTGAATCTTCTGGAAGTGAAGACTCATCACAGCTGCCACCTTCGGGTGTGAGCACAGTTGTGCCAGAGTCTGATCCGGAGATGACGGCCATGCTGTCTCGAGCCGCCGCGAGCATCGGGTTAGAGTGGACCCCTCCGCCCTGTCCCGAGCGCTCGTCGGCTGGATGATTGGTATTTGGGTCAGGCTGCGGACCCCCGTCCGCGTCAGGCCCCGATGCCTTTCTTCCCGGACGTGCATGATGAGATCTCGAAGTCCTGGAAGACCCCCATGTCTTCCCGTGACCGCTCGATGATTTCATCCGCCTTTCCTCCCCTCGATGAGGCGGCTGCCCGTGGGTACACTGGGCTCCCCCCGGTTGAACGCTCTGTTGCGATGCAACTGTGTCCCATCCAAAGCACCCATCCAAAGCATGTAGGTACTCGTCTACATTAGTGGCGAAGTCTTACAGAGCTGCGGGACAGGCTGCCACCTCTTTGCACGCCATGGCCATTCTGCAGGTCTACCAGGCCCAGATGCTCAGGGACATGCACGAGGGCAGGACAGACCCAGGGCTCTTCAATGAGCTGCGCGCCGCCACCGACCTTGCTCTCCGAGCGACGAAGGTGACCGCACGCTCCCTGAGTTTGGTGATGTCCACAGCCGTGGTCCAGGAGAGACACCTCTGGCTGAACCTTGCTGATATGAGGGATGCCGAGCGGTCCCGGCTGCTCGACACCCCCTGCTCAGCCTCGGGTGGGCAGCACCCTTATGTGGTTAAAGAAAGAAGTGACACATTCATCCCTGAGCACACAGAGTTCTCGGACGACACGGTGCGCCGCCCCCGGGCCGTGCACCCCTCGTCCTCCTCTGTCCCAGAGCCGGATGACAGTGCGCGCCGTCCCCGGACCGTGCCGCTCTCATCCTCCTCTGTCACCAGACCCCTGGCAGAGCAGACCCCCGTGGAACGTTCGTCCTTCCCTGGTCTCCTCTGTCAGGACGCGGTCTATGGCTGTACCCCCACACCGGGCCGCTATGCCGTCCACGTTTGGGTCAGCCATACCGCCTCGCTGCCCCACCGACGGGAAGTCTCTGGTTCGCATGACCCCGCTGGTACAGTCCTTGGGAGCCTGGCTAGAGCTTCCCAACCTGTCCCGCTGGGTCACGCGAACGATCAGGCTCGGCTACGCGATTCAGTTCGCGCGGTCTCCTCCCCGCTTCAGGGGAGTCCGCTCCACTATGGTCGGTGGCAATGCCCCTGTCATGAGATCGGAGGTTGCCACCCTGCTGGCGAAGGGTGCGATCGAGACTGTCCCTCCAGCCGAAATGAGGACCGGCTTCTACAGCCCGTACTTCATTGTCCCGAAGAAAACCGGTGGGTTACGGCCAATCCTGGACCTGCGCGTTCTGAACCGCTCCCTTCACAGGCTGCCGTTCAAGATGCTCACCGCCAAACGCGTTTTCGAATGTGTGCGGCACCAGGATTGGTTTGCAGCGATCGACCTGAAGGACGCCTACTTTCATGTCTCCATTCTCCCTCGACACAGACCGTTCCTGCAGTTTGCTTTCGAGGGGCAGGCATATCAGTACGCAGTTCTCCCATTCGGGCTAGCCCTGTCTCCTCGCGTCTTCACGAAGGTCGTCGAGGCAGCCCTTGTTCCCCTCCGGGAACACGGGGTTCGCATTCTGAATTACCTCGACGACTGGCTAATTCTAGCTCACTCTCGAGATCAGCTTTGCGAACACAGGGACTTGGTGCTCCGCCACGTAGCCCGTCTGGGCCTTCGGGTCAACTGGGAGAAGAGCAAACTTTGCCCCGTGCAGAGGATCTCTTTTCTCGGTATGGAGATCGACTCGGTCGCCATGTCCGCGCAGCTTACGAGCGAGCGCGCGCAGTCATTGCTGACTTGCCTGAGACAGTTCGAGGGCAAGAGTGCGGTTCCACTGAAACTTTTTCAGAGGCTCCTGGGGCATATGGCATCCGCAGCCGTGGCAACACCGCTCGGATTACTTCATATGAGACCGCTTCAGCTTTGGCTTCGCGACCGAGTCCCGAGGTGGGCATGGCAACACGGCACTCTCCGAGTACCAGTTACTCCGACCTGCCGTCAGACCTTCACCCCGTGGTCGAACCTCAGTTTTCTACGGGCCGGAGTGCCCCTGGAACGAGCTTCCCGGCATATTGTTGTAACGACAGATGCCTCTACCACGGGCTGGGGTGCCATGTGCAATGGACGTGCTGCCGCGGGCTCCTGGACAGGACCCCACCGCCTATGGCACGTCAATTGCCTCGAGTTGCTGGCTGTACAGCTCGCCTTGCACCGCTTCCGAGCCGTGCTCAGGGGCCAGCATGTACTAGTCCGTTCAGACAATACCGCGACTGTAGCGTACATCAACCGCCAAGGTGGTCTGCGCTCCCGCCGTATGTCACAACTCGCCCGCCACCTCCTCTTATGGAGTCAGAAGCATCTGAGGTCGCTTCGTGCCATTTATATCCCCGGAGCCCTGAACTGTGCAGCCGACGAGCTCTCACGGCTTCAGCCCCTCCCGGGAGATTGGCGACTCCATCCCCAGTCGGTTCAGCTGATTTGGGACCAGTTCGGGGACGCACAGATAGATCTGTTTGCCTCTCACGACTCGACCCATTGCGCCCTGTATTATTCCCTGACCGAGGGCACGCTCGGCACGGATGCACTGGCGCACAGCTGGCCGCGGGGCCGCAAATATGCGTTTCCCCCAGTGAGCCTTCTTGCGCAATTCCTGCGCAAGGTCAGGGAGGACGAGGAGCAGGTCACTCTGGTCGTGCCGTACTGGCCCACCCGGACCTGGTTCTCCGAACTCATACTCCTCGCGACAGCACCTCCTTGGCCGATTCCCGAGGAAGGACCTCCTTTCTCAGGGACGGGGCACCCTATGGCACCCTCGTCCCGATCTTTGGAACCTCCACGTGTGGCTCCTGGACGGGACGAGGCAGGTTTGAGTACCCTACCCCCAGCGGTGGTGGCTACCATCACTTCCGCTAGAGCGTCGTCCACGAGACACGTCTATGCGTTGAAGTGGAACCTCTTCGTCAACTGGTGCTCTTCTCACCGAGAAGACCCCCGGAGATGTTCGATCAGTGTCGTGCTTTCCTTTCTTCAAGAAGGGTTGGAGCGAAGGCTGTCTCCCTCCACCCTCAAGGTCTATGTCGCCGCCATTGCCGCACATCATGACCCAATAGAAGGTAAGTCTGTGGGGAAGCATGACCTGATCGTCAGGTTCCTGAGAGGAGCGAGGAGACTGAATCCTCCTCGCCCTCCTCTCGTACCCTCTTGGGACCTCGCAGTGGTCTTAACTGCCCTGCGCAGCGTTCCCTTTGAGCCTTTGCAGTCGGTCGAGCTTAACTTCCTGTCAATGAAGACAGCGCTTCTGACTGCACTGGCCTCCATCAAGAGGGTAGGGGACCTGCACGCATTCTCCGTTGACGAAGCGTGCTTGGAATTCGGGCCGGGTTACTCTCACGTGATCCTGAGACCCCGGCCTGGACATGTGCCCAAGGTTCCTACCACTCCCTTCCGGGACCAGGTGGTGAACCTGCAAGCGCTGCCCCCGGAGGAGGCAGACCCAGCCTTGGCACTGCTCTGTCCAGTACGTGCTCTTCGCATCTATGTAGACAGAACGCAGTGTTTCAGGACCTCAGACCAGCTCTTTGTCTGTTATGGTGGGAAGCTGAAGGGAAAGGCTCTTTCCAAGCAAAGGTTGTCTCACTGGATAGTGGACGCCATTGCTTTGGCATACCAGCAGCAAGGTCGACCGTGCCCCCTTGGTGTGACCGCACACTCCACCCGGAGTGTCGCGTCCTCTTGGGCTTTAGCGCATGGCGCCTCGCTAACAGACATCTGCAGAGCTGCAGGCTGGGCGACACCTAAAACATTCGCCAGATTTTACAATCTCCGAGTGGAGCCAGTCTCCTCCCATGTACTGTCTTTTTCAAGCTAACATGGGACCCGTTAGGTGTCTTCGCTTGCTCGCCATTCCACTCCACGGACTGGATACGTGCGATATTCTCCTCAGGTGAGCTTCCCCGAAAGCCCTGAGCTCCTCCAGCACTGCTGACGCTGGCGCCAGTGTCTATTGCCTGTGCGTCGGCTAGGTGCCTTCCGTGTGCATGGTACCTCCTCTGAGCTACCCCCACATGTGTATTTCCACTGTAAGCCTCTCTGAGCATGTGTCTTTCCCTCGGCAAGCCACCTTGCCACCCCTGGGGTTGAAATATTCCACCTGCGGCTGGACACCCCAGTGATTCCCCATATGCATCCCTCGGGTCATATGTGTATTCTTAAGTCCCCCCCCTCTGGGTTGGCAGTAATTGCATATTCCCCTAAAATCTGGGATATGCTCCCCAGTGTACCTTGGTATTCCTGTGCTAAATAGGAGTCCTTCGTCCGTGCTAGTCTCACGACAGGGATCTCAGATTTACGCAGGGCACTGGAAGACAGCTGAGAAGGTGGCGTGATTAGACTGGTATCCCCATTCGTCGTCATCCGACGTAACTCGGAGTGACAACGAAAGGGAACGTCTCGGTTACGGATGTAACCCTCGTTCCCTGAGTAGGGAACGGAGACGTTCCATCTTCCTGCCACTTTCCGCTGTACCGCGGGGATCGCCTGAGCTCAGTCTTGGCTCCTCAGCGAAGAAACATGCCTATTTGCTGCCAGCGTTCTCCTTAAATACCCACGAGGTGAGGCGGAGTTACGCTATGCAAATTCCGCAGACCCATGGCATTTCTTTGCCATTGGCTCGTTTTGTAGTACTCGAAGTCGATTGGCTTTCTAAGCGAAACCCCCCATTCGTCGTCATCCGACGGAACGTCTCCGTTCCCTACTCAGGGAACGAGGGTTACATCCGTAACCGAGACGATTTCTGTCCATCCATTGAAAGTCCATTCAAAATGTTCTTTAAAACGTTGTAAAATGAATCCATATGTATAGAGCGGTTTAATCCAAGTCCTGGCTTTTATTCACATTTAATCATTGATCAATGCACATACACGGAGCTCTTTAAATATGGTAAACAGATACTCAAACACACTTTCTTGATGCACAATAACCTTGGATGTCAAGCAAGTAGGCTCAAGTTTCCATTTGCCATATTTGATGATGTGTGCTAATCAATGCTTGCATGTCAATAAAAGCAGTAAATTCATATGGATTACATTAAAAATATATATATTTTGAATGAGTGTACGATCGTAAACGATAACTGAATTTTAATTTTGAACTATCCCTTTAATGTTATAAGCAGCTTTCAAAAAACTGATTTCATACACAAGCATTTAACACAGAAGTTTTAAACTGCTCTGAAATGTGACGCTCAGTTCTTTGAATGTATTTTCTCCAGCGCCGAGCCAGTCTCCAGTGAAAGTCATGTGGAATACTACAGACTCCAAACTCATCCTCAAGTGGGATCATGTGAAGGCTCTGGAGAATGAGTCTGAAGTTATGGGCTATAAGGTATGAACTGCCTCTGATCGATATCTGATGTTTACATCACAACATTGTTGGATGCTTGATTCTGATTGGTTGACAGATTACAGCTCCATCCCAGACAGCAACATAGTGTCGGCCCAGATCCGGCCCATGTCACGTACCAGACACTATGTTGCTGACTGGGATATATAGTAACACACACCCTGAATTCAACGGTCTGCTAATTCCTTGCATATAAACAGAGTTTTAAAGCATCTGTGTTTGTTTTGAAGGTCATGTACAAGCAAAGCACACATAGTCGGCCCAGCGTGGTGGAGACTAACAGCACATCTCTCGAGCTCTCTCTGCCTGTGGATGAGGATTACATCATCCAGATTAAACCAGTCAGTGAAGGTGGCGAGGGAAGCAGCAGCAAACAGATTACCATCCCCAGGATAGCAGGTCTGAACTTATGGCTCTTGTGGCGTTTATAATATTTTTCAGTATGCTGACCTTGTGGTTTACCATTTTCAGCCTATCACGTCAATCATGCACTTTTTATATAAATTATATACAATAAAACAAGTGAAAAATACTTATCAGAAACTGTAAAATGGTTTATTCATTTTTTTTTTATTATTTTTTTTTTTTGCAGTTGCACATGCGATTGGATTTGCCCCGGAGCGGAAAGCACTCCCCCTGCTCGTAACACTATTACTCTACTGTACGGTCAGGACTTTCTTATGACAGATGAACTGAACTCTACAGCGGGGAGAACAGTACAGAGTGGATCTTTTTCCAGTATGTTTTACAAACGAGACTCTCTTCGGATGGAAAGTTTTCCTCTCGCTTTTTCAAAAGAGGAAGTTTGACACCAAAGCTGTCGAAGACTGCGCAGTAAGAGCTATCTCATTGTTTTTGGATAAATGTATCGACAGACCACGTGGTTTTCCAACCTGGAACTGGGTATTTAAGGGCATAAAATGACATGCAGTTCACTCTTAAGGATTCGCTTACAAGGACATCTGTTCGGTCGAGATGAATCCATATTCATCCATTAGACGGTTGGCAGTGGAGAACCACACAAATGCCTTTTTCATAGGAACCTTGGGACTAATGAACTCTGAAGAGAATCCCTTCAGCCATACCTCACTGACACTTTCATTATAAGAACATCAACCCATTAAATCAGCTGTCCTCAAATCAGACAGAGTTTACAGTCCCCCAGTGTTGACATGCCCCCCTGTCTGTTGAAGACGAAGCTAATGCTGCTGGCCTTACCTATACAGTAAAAGAGCTCACTGGCTGTCTCGAGCTGGTTGTTCCTTCAGTCATGCACTGAGATCTTTGTTTTGCTAGTGTGTGTGTGTGTGTGTGTGTGTGCGCCTCTTTAATGAGAAACAGTGTGTAAAATATCCTCAGGACCAGAGCAGCCTTAAAAAGTTGTCTTGATTTCTTTTCTTGTTTAGTTTGTTCTTTTACAATTCCATTATTTGATGATGATGTATAGGGGATAACATTTTGATTGTAAAAGACCAGCTTTTCATTTTCCGTCGGGGTGCTTTCTAAAGGTAATAGCTGTGATCATTGAAATACCTAGGACATGATGCTTACTTTCCATTTTCAAGCTGTTTAGCATGAACTGGCTCTGTAGTGGCTTGAAAAAAGTATTTGAATGGACTGTCTGCTTTTAATAAATTAAGGAACAAGTAATGTTCTTAAGATTCATTGTTATATATTGTCATTGTCATCATTGTTATATTTTATATTGACAGAGGACGGTTGAAAACATGCGTTCACACGATCAATTTTGAGCATTCAGATGGTATAATCAAACATGTCTTGTGGAGCGCTCTCTGAGTATGCATGTATTTGTCATTTTAACTGAAACGGAGCGTAAAAGTGGACTTCAAAGATTTATTATCCTGTTGCGCTCTCAATAGGCCATGAATGATCAGCGACTAGTCGACGTTTTAAAGTCGACTAGTCTGTTCAACCCCTATATATGATGTGAATCTGCATCAATCACCAATTTAGCTGTTCGGTGACAATTTCGTTAAACTGTTCATTGGGTCATTCCTGGTATGCGGTGACTTTTCCTGTCCCAATGATTTATTTACTCATATTTTCTCTAAAATGAGTCACATATTTATAGTAAATGGCTTAAATTGTAGATTTAAATTGTACCATTTAAACAGAGATAATAAACATTAAAAATACTATTTTGTATTTTACACAATTTTAATTGATGTATGCATTCAATTATATCATGTCCTCAGTGCACAGTAATCAACTTCTGCAAGAAATATAAACCATGAAATGACAAAAACCTCGAAATATTTTTTTATTATGTTATAGACTAGGCTAAATTGCCTCTAGTCATACATATAAATCATGTGAAAATATAGGTCTTTTTCTTAAAATTTTCTTCAATTACTGCGTCCCTGAAGTAGTCTTCCACCCTGTTAGTATGTACTTTTTTGCCTTCCAAATCCGACTGCAATTTCATTGAGACCATTTTCAAGAAGTGACCTAATTTCTTTTACCTGCTGGAATTCAACTGTGCAAACTGAAGTAAGCTTCAACTCTCACTCCTAACTTTTTTTTTTTTTTTTTTAAATGTTATCCTGCTTGTCCCACCCTTAAAGTTCCACCCTGTTAGGCTATGTTATGGAGAATGTTTGTCCGATCAAAAAAATGTAAAAACAAATCTGACATAGTTCTAAACGTTTATTTATCTGTAGAAGGTTAGCTAGCTAAATCTTGATCACTCAAAGAGCTATGGCTAATTTAGCTCAAAATTGTCCACCCTGTTAGATTCCACCCTGTTAGGTCTATAAACCTAACAGGGTGGAATGTGAAACATATTCTATTCATCAAAAATTGTTTTGCTTGTTTCAAGAAGAAAAGGAAAATCTAAGATGGCATAAGGGACATATACTATCCAAGAAAAGCTCATTATTGTTTAACATTTACATTATTAACATGTTGTGATAACTATGTATATGTCCCTAACAGGGTGGAATATTTTCATGGACAGTGTCTGAACAAACTACCCATAATTATTATTATAGAGTCTCTGAGCTTGACCAATATGTATTCCTTATAGTTAAACATGTCACTATTTTGGTAGAATGCTAAAAACATGAAAATCATATTCTTTTTTTTCAACACTTATGAAGCCAAAATGTCACCGCATACCAGGAATGACCCCATTAACAACTACCTTTTCCAGGTTTTATTGGGTCAATATCTTAATATCAGCAAAGCATCACTTTAACCATAATGATGCTGATACACGATAAAACTATAAAATGAGGATTTGGAGAAAACAACCATATGGGAACAATTAACGGTCACTTCTGGGTAAAATGAGCATTGTTGCTGTGTATGTATGTATGTATGTATGTATAGGCTAATTACTGTAGTAAGGCGACTACTGTGCATGGGGTCATATCCCCGGTTTGGAGAATGTTCTTCAGTAGACCACAAGATGGCAGTGCAATAGAGGTAATGCAACATTTCTTGAACAAAATGGTAAATATTTGTACCTAAACCGTTGGAGGATAATACAGAATCCTCAGTGTATCTGCTTTTTATTTAACTCAGATGCACAAAATAGCAAACTTGACCACATGGATGGTTCTTGTTTATTTCGAACACTGTACAGCAAACACACAAAACCAAGCAGTAGAAAGAAGAGGATAGCGGTGTAAACAGAAGTGCCTGCGGGTGGAATCTCAGGGGGAATCAATGCTTAAAGTAGTTTTCTAAGCTTAACTCGTTTTCCTCAAAGTTCAAATCCTCAATGCAACATTACAGCATAAACAAGGACGCTGCCATTCTGACATAGGCTTAGCAGACGGGCTGGCGAAAGAACGCTGTGGTTGACTTGGAATCCAACTAGCAACCTTTGCATGGCACTTCTTTTCTTTTTATTCAGGCACCTGTGTCCTCAAAAATCTGTAACTGTACAAGTTGGAAGAATGCAGTATACAAATTTCCCTTCTGATATCTGCAGGTTGTGTGAAGTGTTGTAATTTTCACATAGTGCACAGTCCTGAACAAATGCATTAGTTACACAACAACAAGCCTTGACCATGTTAGCAAAGGTTATTAAGACTCTATCCTGGCCTTCTTTCATCCTAATATAAAGTATGCTATGTTTTTCATTTGGCAATACACACAATTCAAAGCTCATTCATCCATTCGACACTAGAACACATACACGTCCTGTCCAGGATTTCTACTGCTTTCACAGAGGAAACGTTTGTAAAGGGAATCATGGCTCAAGGGTCACGCTTCACTGAAAACCACAGGCTCATGACATTTACACATAAAAAGGTCTCATATCTAACAAATCGGAATCATTACGACAGTGTTTAAAAATCATTAGTTCGTTGGCACAGCATTGTGTGGGAAGAAACCGTTTAAAAAATAAAATCACAGAAGTTTCATAAACGTACAGAGCAATAGGGAGTTTGTTAAATATTGTCTTTTTGGAAAATAATACTAAATTGTTTTCGGCAATGCTTAAAGTCTAAATGCACATGCACATAACACATTAAATAATTATGTAATTGTGTCTGCATGTACTGAGCTCAAATTAGGTTTGGCTTCTTTGGACTTCAAATCATTTTTCACAGTTTAACAATATGTGTAGGAGATGAAATAGAGCATTCAACAAGCAAACGTGTTTCTGTTTGTAGCGTGCATTTCAAAACTCTCATACTTGGGGATATTTTCAATCTAAAATCTAAAGCTTGATTACTGTTGGTACCTTTTTTGTACTGAAAATTGGCATGTTTCATTTTTCTCTGTTCGTGATACCTATATTTAAGGGCTCCCGAGAAAAAAAAAAAAGCATTCTTGACATCTGTAAAAACAAATACAGCAGTAATTAACAAGAAATTTCCAGGGGGAGGGGGGGATGTGCAAGTACACTATCTTCATATTATATCTAATATGGAAATAAATACTTTTCAGAGGACCGTCAAAAGGTTTGGCAATCATACATTAATACAGTCTGTCTCGTTTTCCTCTCTGGTTTGTAAGGACACTGAACCAGAGTTTTTAGTTAGCTGGATGTATATGAAAATATTTGAAACCCTGCTTTGCCACATGCAGATGAGGTTCAGAAAAGCAACATAATGTTTGTTGATCAGAGAAGCACGACATACTGTATGTACTCTATCTAGGCTTTTCCCTACAGTTCAGTGTTTGCAAAAAGTGTTATATGAGGCCTAGAAAAACTACTCAATAGACACTACTGTCACTCCACTAAGCTAAATCTTCAGCAATGTTCATCAAAAAGCCCCGTGCCTCATGCTTGATGTTAGCATCGGGCTGTCGATAGTACGCTTGGTTAGTTTTCACATTCGTGAAGAAAAAGCAAGGGACTACAATGGCAGCTAAATCGTCTGATCGATGTGATGCTGGGTCTGTCCTTCCCAAATGGTCCGAGCGCCTCTTGAACGAGCATGTCCATATCATCACAGCGAATGTAGACACCAAATAGAAATTACATGAGAAGGAATCGGTTCTGACGTCTGGGAGGCAGCATGTGTTTGTGTGCATGTGTAAATGTTAGTGTCGTTTATGTAAGTGGAAGCAAGAAGCTTAGCATAAGAGGTCTGTAGATGTTGGCGACCCACTGGCAGTCATTGAGGAACAGTTGCTTTTTGTTGAAGTCCTGAGAACTGAGGAGATCAGGACTAATGGAGAAATAAACAAAACAAATAACAGATCATGTAATACAACCATTTATTAAAGTACATTTAGAAGATGGCAATAAGTGACTGCTGTTGTAGAATGGAAAACAAGGTTTGCAATTGATTTTTGATAACTGCACGGTTCGCAGTACAATAAAAGAGTGCGTTTGTCAGTGCCGTCCACCTAGAGTTAACATGCGGCGCTGACTGAACTGGTTTTGACATGTCATTACACCCTTGTCAAACTGCTATACACCAGCAGGCTCAATATGACAGATAAACGCTGAAGTGAAAACATAATATGCATTTTTGAAATGGATGGATTAATTGTGCATGCGAGGGCTAGCGGTGACAAATACCTTCAATTCCTCATGTGGATCTTGAGTGGAAGATTCGGTTTCCCTGACAACTACAGCCTTGGTTACCAACATGTCAGGGTGCTGTTGCTTGGCTTCTTTTATTGCCATTGCGAGCGCCTTGGGAAAAAGTCATTTATTTTTCAAGTTAAATGAATGGCAATGTAATAGTAATATGCTTTCTGACTAATTAATTTGCACTTTAAAGTCGCCATGAAACAGAAATTGGGATTGTCTTTTCTTTCCTATTGTGAAGTATATTAGAGTGAGGATGCTTATTTTGTCCATCAGAAATGGATTGTTGTTTGCTAATTGCTGCGATCTCATGTGATTGAGAGACTGCTTGAGGGGAGGGATTATTTCCCAGCCCTCATGCACAGAAGTTAAAGTGGACATATTATGCCCCTTTTTACAAGATGTGAAATAAGTCTCAGGTGTCCCCAGATTGTGTCTGTGAGGTTTCAGCTCAAAATCCCCCACAGATCATTTATTATACCATGTTGAAAATGGCAATTTTGGGGTGGGAGAAAAAACACAGTTCCCTTTCGTTGTCACTCCGAGTTCCGTCGGATGACGACGAATGGGGGTTTCGCTTAGAAGCCAATCAACTTCAAGTACTTCAAAACGAGCCAATGGCAAAGAAATGCCATGGGTCTGCGGAATTTGCATAGCGTAACTCCGCCTCACCTCGTGAGTATATAAGGAGAACGCTGGCAGCAAATAGGCATGTTTTCGCTTTGGAGCCAAGTTAATCCTTCGTTCCACAGCCATCTCTGTACTGTCAGTTCTTCAGACGAGCGAGATTCCCTGGTGTTGGTGTGACGGCGATCTCCGGCGAGCGCGCACTTCCTGCTTATCTGTCGGTGGTTTGACGGCGAGTGTGTGTCTCCCCGGGCGCTTCAACACAGTCAGTGTTTCTTTTCTCTCACAAAAGAGCTTGCACGTGGCACGTCTTTTTAAAGATGCCTCGCCCGTGCACTTCTGGTTGCGGTAGACTCGTTGCCGACTCTGATGGGCACGAGCGTTGCATAGTGTGTTTGGGCATTGATCACGCTAGAGCAGCGCTCGTGGATGACTCATGTTCTCTCTGTGGGAACATGACCATCGCAGCACTACGATCAAGACTCAGTGATCTCGCAAGAGTGAGAGCCCCCTCATCCACACCCCGATCTACTGACTCTAGAAATAGAGCTGGTACTTCGGCTGGTGGCCAGGGTGATCTGAGGGTGACGGTTTGGAACCAAGCGCCGACTATCAGTCCGTGCCCAGCCGCACCCTCTCCAGTGTTGCAACCCGTGAGTGCTCAGGGGATTCCGGCGGGACCATCTTCGGGTGCCCCGCGGGTTTCCTTTGGCGCTCCAGAGGAGGACGCGATGTCTATCGCGGCATCACAAGGTGGGTCTGAGTCTGCTGGAAGTGAAGACTCATCACAGCTGCCACCTTCGGGTGTGAATACAGTTGTGCCAGAGTCTGATCCAGAGATGACGGCCATGCTGTCTCGAGCCGCCGCGAGCATCGGGTTAGAGTGGACCCCTCCGCCCTGCCCCGAGCGCTCGCGGCTGGATGATTGGTATTTGGGTCGGGCTGCGGATCCCCGTCCCCGTCAGGCCCCGATACCTTTCTTCCCGGACGTGCATGATGAAATCTCGAAGTCCTGGAAGACTCCCATGTCTTCCCGCGACCGCTCGATGATTTCATCCGCCTTTCCTCCCCTCGATGAGGCCGCTGCCCGTGGGTACACTGGGCTCCCCCCGGTTGAACGCTCTGTTGCGATGCAACTGTGTCCTCAGAGCGCTTCTTCTCGTGGTGAGCCTAAGCACCCATCCAAAGCCTGTAGGTACTCGTCTACACTAGTGGCGAAGTCCTACAGAGCTGCGGGACAGGCAGCCACCTCTTTGCATGCCATGGCCATTCTGCAGGTCTACCAGGCCCAGATGCTCAGGGACATGCACGAGGGCAGGACAGACCCAGGGCTCTTCAATGAGCTGCGCGCCGCCACCGACCTTGCTCTCCGAGCGACGAAGGTGACCGCACGCTCCCTGGGTTTGGTGATGTCCACAGCTGTGGTCCAGGAGAGACACCTATGGCTTAATCTTGCTGATATGCGAGATGCCGAGCGGTCCCGGCTGCTCGACACTCCCATATCACAAGATGGCCTTTTCGGCGGTGCAGTCGAGGACTTTGCCCAACAGTTCTCGACTGCTCAGAAACAGACTGAGGCTATCAAGCATATTCTGCCCCGACGGCCAGCTGCTGCCTCCACCCAGCCGACCGGGCAGAGTACTCAGTCTGTTCGCCGCCGAGGGCGCCCTCCTACGGCTCCCGCCCCTCCCGCCCGGCCCAAGCAGCAGCCTCCATCAGGGCCCGGTCGCAGAGGAAGCCGTAAGAAGGCGCCCCAGCCCTCTCCAGCCCCGCCCCCCGCTAAACGCCGGGCCAAGCGGCGCTCCTGAGACGGGCTGCTCAGAGATGATGTTCACTTCTCAGGAGATGGTAGCAGGACCACTCCTTCCCCCGGTGGAGGGCCGGGGGAGAATCTTTTGTTTTCCGCTCCCCGCTGCTCACCCACGGGTGGGCAGCACCCTAATGTGGTTAAAGAAAGAAGTGACACATTCATCTCTGAGCACACAGAGTTCTCGGACGACACGGTGCGCCGCCCCCGGGCCGTGCACCCCTCGTCCTCCTCTGTCCCAGAGCCGGATGACAGTGCGCGCCGTCCCCGGACCGTGCCGCTCTCATCCTCCTCTGTCGCCAGACCCCTGGCAGAGCAGACCCCTGTGGAACGTTCGTCCTTCCCTGGTCTGCTCTGTCAGGACGCGGTCTATGACTGTACCCCCACACCGGGCCGCTATGCCGTCCAAGTCTGGGTCAGCCATACCGCCTCGCTGCTCCACCGACGGGAAGTCTGTGGTTCGGATGACCCCGCTGGTACAGTCCTTGGTAGCCTGGCTAGAGCTTCCCAACCTGTCCCGCTGGGTCGCACGAACGATCAGGCTCGGCTACGCGATTCAGTTCGCGCGGTCTCCTCCCCGCTTAAGGGGAGTCCGCTCCACTATGGTCGGTGGCAATGCCCCTATCATGAGAGCGGAGGTTGCTACCCTGCTGGCGAAGGGTGCGATCGAGACTGTCCCTCCAGCCGAAATGAAGACCGGCTTCTACAGCCCGTATTTCATTGTCCCGAAGAAAACCGGTGGGTTACGGCCAATCCTGGACCTGCGCGTTCTGAACCGCTCCCTTCACAGGCTGCCGTTCAAGATGCTCACCGCCAAACGCGTTTTCGAATGTGTGCGGCACCAGGATTGGTTTGCAGCGATCGACCTGAAGGACGCCTACTTTCATGTCTCCATCCTCCCTCGACACAGACCGTTCCTGCGGTTTGCTTTCGAGGGACAGGCATATCAGTACGCAGTTCTCCCATTCGGGCTAGCCCTGTCTCCTCGCGTCTTCACGAAGGTCGTCGAGGCAGCCCTTGTTCCCCTCCGGGAACACTTTGGCTTCGCGACCGAGTCCCGAGGTGGGCATGGCAACACGGCACTCTCCGAGTATGGAGATTGGCGACTCCATCCCCAGTCGGTTCAGCTGATTTGGGACCAGTTCGGGGACGCACAGATAGATCTGTTTGCCTCTCACGACTCGACCCATTGCGCCCTGTATTATTCCCTATTATTCACCCTATGGCACCCTCGTCCCGATCTTTGGAACCTCCATGTGTGGCTCCTGGACGGGACGAGGCAGGTTTGAGTACCCTACCACCAGCGGTGGTGGCTACCATCACTTCCGCTAGAGCGTCGTCCACGAGACACGTCTACGCGTTGAAGTGGAACCTCTTCGTCAACTGGTGCTCTTCTCACCGAGAAGACCCCCGGAGATGTTCGATCAACGTCGTGCTTTCCTTCCTTCAAGAGGGGTTGGAGCGAAGGCTGTCTCCCTCCACCCTCAAGGTCTATGTCGCCGCTATTGCCGCACAGCATGATCTTATAGAAGGTAAGTCGGTGGGGAAGCATGACCTGATCGTCAGGTTCCTGAGAGGAGCGAGGAGACTGAATCCTCCTCGCCCTCCTCTCGTACCCTCTTGGGACCTCGCAGTGGTCTTAACCGCCCTGCGTAGTGCTCCCTTTGAGCCTTTACAGTCAGTCGAGCTTAACTTCCTGTCAATGAAGACGGCGCTTCTGACTGCATTGGCCTCCGTTAAGAGGGTGGGGGACCTGCACGCATTCTCCGTTGACGAAGCGTGCCTAGAATTCGGGCCGGGCTTTTCTCACGTGATCCTGAGACCCCGGCTTGGATATGTGCCCAAGATTCCTACCACTCCCTTTCGGGACCAGGTGGTGAACCTGCAAGCGCTGCCCCGGGAGGAGGCAGACCCAGCCTTGGCACTGCTCTGTCCAGTACGTGCGCTCCGCATCTACGTAGACAGGACGCAGTGTTTCAGGACCTCAGACCAGCTCTTTGTCTGTTATGGTGGGAAGCTGAAGGGAAAGGCTCTCTCCAAGCAAAGGTTGTCTCACTGGATAGTGGACGCCATTGCTTTGGCATACCAGCAGCAAGGTCGACCGTGCCCCCTTGGTGTGACTGCCCACTCCACCCGGAGTGTGGCATCCTCTTGGGCTCTAGCGCATGGCGCCTCGCTAACAGACATCTGCAGAGCTGCAGGCTGGGCGACACCTAACACATTCGCCAGATTCTACAATCTCAGAGTGGAGCCTGTGTCCTCTCATGTACTCGCTTCAACCAGCTAGTACCGGACCCGCTCAGGTGTCTTCGCTTGCTCGCCATTCCACTCTACGGACTGGATACGTGCGATATTCTCCTCAGGTGAGCTTCTCCGAAAGCCCTGAGTTCCTCCAGCACTCCTGACGTCGGCGCCAGTGTCTCTTGCCTGCGCGTCGGCTAGGTGCCTCCCGTGTGCATGGTACCTCCCGGAGCTACCCCCACATGTGTATTCCCACTGTAAGCCTCTCTGAGCATGTGTCTTTCCCTTGGCAAGCCACCTTGCCACCCCTGGGGTTGAAATATTCCACCTGCGGCTGGATACCCCAGTGATTCCCCATATGCATCCCTCGGGTCATATGTGTATTTCTAAGTCCCCCCCTCTGGGTTGGCAGTAATTGCATACTTCCCTAAGACCTGGGATATGCTCCCCAGTGTACCTTGGTATTCCTGTGTTAAATAGGAGTCCTTCGTCCGTGCTAGGCTCACGACAGGGATCTCAGATTTACGCAGGGCACTGGAAGACAGCTGGGAAGGTGGCGTGATTAGACTGGTATCCCCATTCGTCGTCATCCGACGGAACTCGGAGTGACAACGAAAGGGAACGTCTCGGTTACGGATGTAACCCTCGTTCCCTGAGTAGGGAACGGAGACGTTCCGTCTTCCTGCCACTTTCCGCTGTACCGCGGGGATCGCCTGAACTCAGGTTGGCTCCTCAGCGAAGAAACATGCCTATTTGCTGCCAGCGTTCTCCTTATATACTCACGAGGTGAGGCGGAGTTACGCTATGCAAATTCCGCAGACCCATGGCATTTCTTTGCCATTGGCTCGTTTTGAAGTACTTGAAGTTGATTGGCTTCTAAGCGAAACCCCCATTCGTCGTCATCCGACGGAACGTCTCCGTTCCCTACTCAGGGAACGAGGGTTACATCCGTAACCGAGACGTTTTTGTGTGTGTCTCTTTAAATGCAAATGAGCTGCTGCTCCCTGCCCCGTTTCTAGAAGAGGGTGGAGCCTTTACACCTTGTGCCTCGGTTAATTACGGCAATAAAAAATCAGTGGCGCAAAAAGTGGGTATGCGCTATATGCGGCGCAATAGGGGCGCAGCACCATGGGGGGCGCCAAAGCGATGGTAAAAAAAAAAAAAAAAATGTAATTAAAAAATATAGATGTATTGTATTTTCTATATGTCGCTGCTGTTGTGCGTTTCTAAATCATTTCTGCATTTCTTCAATGTTATATAAAATTTTAGAGGACTAACAGGCTAGAGTTAGGCGCCCTCATGGAGAAGGGGGGCGGGGTAATATCGCGAGCAGGCGGGGGCGCCGTGAGCGCTGAGCGAGCAGGTACGAGTAGTGAGTTGTCGTCGAAAAAGATGGATAAAACAAAATGCTGGGGGGCTAAAAATATAAAAAGAAAGAGGGAAAAGGAGATGGCATGTCAATTGATGCGACAGCAGCTAAATAAGTGCATGCTGAAAGCCAACAGGTAGGATTTAAAGTGTGACATCCAGGCATGTAGGCTATCTATATCTCTGTGGCCATCGGGACTACCGGGAGATTCCCGGTGGGCCAACGTGCTTTTTCGGCCGATACATCTCATACTTTTTTTTTTTGTCTTAACGGCCCATAAAACTCGTACATCGGGGGCCCATTCTTTTTTTTTTTTTGCTTATTGGCGGCGCTGGGTTAGTACCGGGTAATGCATTGGTCAAAAAAAGTCAGCGTTAGTATTTTTCTGACACACCGGCCCACGAAACATGTCATCATGTGCTTATGTCTTTCAAGTATAGAAATTAGTACAAAACTAATTATGAAAGTTTCCATTATTTTTCAGTGCATTTGTTTTACAATATATGGCTATTACTATCATGGGATTAAAGGGACACTATGCAGCTTTTTTAGCTTAACTGAACAGCTTCAGAGTTATTGAAATGTTTATCTAACTTCTTTCGGGTTGAATGGTGGGCGTCTCGACCCCCCCTGGTGCCTGTGAGCGAAAAAATCCCACTTGCAACTTCGGTGCGGCGGGCCGCGTCAGGAAGTATCGCGTGATATCAGCTCTCGCGATGTAACATATTCCTTTACGGCAACTGCACACATACACACAGGAACAAGGTAGATGGATGGAGTTTGTCACACTATCGTCATGGCTGAGCCGGCATATAAGATGCAGAAAGCTAGGAAAGCATTGTCGGAGGAACAGAGAAAGAGGAAACGGCAGACTGACCGAGCGAGGAGTCGGACACGAGCATAGGCATAATTTGCGGGTGTGTTATGTCCCCATTGAAACTTCTCGCGGCACGGATGTAACGTTACCATTACAAACAAATAAAACATCTCCAGGTAACTCTAGTAGAGCATTCATTTCGTCCGTTTGTTAAATAAGAGGCGATCTGAAATGTGTTATTTTTGAAATCAAGTGACCAAAGTGCTCGTTGCCTCTGCGATCAGTGGTGCAGATAAGTTACAGTGTTCTGTTGTGACGCGCGCCTGAATCCGTTGCGGGGACTGAGATACTCTCTATATTTTGTTATGGTAAAATCACAAAACCTAATGCACAAAAAACATGTCCCTGCTTGAAATACAACCACTAATAAACAATCGGTTTTGATGAGGAAAATAAACTATACTACTAGTACCGACTAGAACCCAGAACCTCTGACACACTTGCAAAAGTTCTGCCTCTGGACCATTAAAATTGTCGGATCTATGTATTTAATCACGTGAAAATTCTCACCACTAACAACATATATTATATCTCATTAAACGACAAATTAAACACAATGTACTATTGTATACTATCTATGTAACAGGCCATGTCACGCTCTGAGTGAGTGGTATTTACGACAGTAACGTTAAATTCAAGCACTCCACAGTAACTCTAGGGGTCGCTGTTTGACAAAAACGGGATTTCTGCATAATGCCCCTTTAATATTATAACTGTTATTATGTAGTAGTGTAATGTAGACAGACACTAATTAAAAGAGGTTTGAATTTTTCTTTGTTTAATTTGCACCCTGAATATGGGTTGGAGCTTTTAATTTTGAACTCTCAAAGTGCACCAGATTGCTGAATTTAACATTAAAGAACACAAAATTTTCTTAAGGGGGGGTGGGGGGTGGGGGGGTGGAGGGGGTGGGGGGGGTGGGGCATGCCCCCGAACCCCCCTAGAGAAACAGAGGTCCACCTACCACAGTTTTACCTAAAATCCTGTGAGAAACACTGGTATTGCTGTTCCAATGGAGCTTATAGTTTTTTTTAGGGGGGTTCATCACGGTGGAGTAGCTATAGTTTAATTGTATTAATAAATTACAATTTTGCACTTATTTTATCTGTTAGCTCTCACTCGTTCCTACTCACTTATTACAAAGCACACTTATTTATTTATTTATTTTGGCGCAAAAATTGTTGCTGCATACCCCTCTGACACTGGGTAGTTGCGCCCCTGTAAAAAATCAGGAGAAGCAATATGACTGTCAACGAAAATAGTGGTGTCCAGCCCTATATGTACTGTATGAAACGGAGTCGGACACTGATGACCCAGACAGCAACATAGTTCGGCCCAGATCCGGCCCACATCTGGTACACATGGATTCCTCACGTGTTGTCGCGATTTTCTTGAAGCTCCGCCCTCTTCTTGAAAGGGGGCCGGGAGCACCAGCTCATTTGCATTTAAAGAGACGTTTTTGCTCACCCTCCAAAAGTGGAAATTTTTACATGTTATAAAAATGATCTGTGGGGTATTGTCCATTTTGAACTAAAACTTCACATACACACTCTGGGGACATCAGAGACTTATTTTACATCTTGTAAAAGGGGCATCCGATGTCCCCTTTAAGGCAATTGTAAGATAGCATTCTATGCATATATCGTGTGACCTGTCAATCAACATTAGAGCACCACCCTCAGACTGAATAACGCAAGGACATTAGAATTCTGCCAAAAGTGTGTCTGGTGTGTTCAGTGATTACAATACAGGATAAAGCTTAAATTTTTTGTTTTATCATAAACTAGTGCTAAGATCCAGAATGTGCCCTATACCTAAATGTATGGTCAGTAGCTGCTACTGCTATACACACAGCAAATTTAAAAGTGATCCCCCACCCCCGGTGTTATTGGTAATACCAGTGTTGTCGCAAGTTTATATATTGGTGTGAAAATTTCCTCACCATGACAACAACCCTATTTCAAACCCATTAGACTTTCGTTCATCTTCGGAACACAAATTAAGATATTTTAATGAAACCTAAAATAGAATTCTGTCTATCCACTGATCAGAACTTGGTAATCAGAACTTTCATGCTCCAAAACGATCAAAGTCATCCATGTGACTCCAGTGGTTTAATCCTAAATCTATGAAGTAATGTGATTGTTTTGGGTGTGTATTAAAAGTATTTATTCACACAATATCTTCACTTCCGCACATCTGCAAAGGTCTCCGATGTGCGTTCACAGGAGAATCTCTTTGGCTGTTAACATGAGAGCAGACATTCTTGTGATGCAACCGGTCCTGGAAGTGCTGCACTGTTAATAGCAGAAAAATATGCTCTTCTTCTTCCCTAGGCTTTCAACGGATGGGCAGTAATATCTGGGGAATTATTGAAAAAAAAAACTTAATTTGTGTTCCAAAGTTGAATGAAAGTCTTATAGGTTTGGAATGTGAGTGTGAGTAAATGATGACATTTCTGAGTGAACTAACCCTTCTAGAGTTGATACAATCATAGATCAATATATATCTCACTAAAACGCATTGAAAGATACCCAGCCCTAGTTCCTCCTGCACCTACCTGATCTTGATCGACATCATCGTCACCAGTAATGATAATCCTCTTTTCGATTCTTGTCTCGGAGTAGCCTCCTTTCACCGTCTACAAAACAAAATGACATACATTTTCAATCCTCCACGAAGACCTATTCTATACAAGAGGCTAACAGCATATTTTAGATACCTTAGTTACATGTGTTGTAGTGGCTGATGTTACGTTCTCAGTAACCATTAGAGGAGAACCATCTCTACCTAATGATCCCAAGTTCACCTGTACAAGATTATAATGAAATAAACACTTGTCAAAGCAAGAAAACTATAAGCTAGGGACTTTCATACATCACAAATAACGCAGACCATCTGAAGCAAACTCTGGAACGAAAGTTGGAAATACAAGCAACAGACAGAAGGACAGGGCAGAAGCCGAGACAGAAGAGGGTTTGGAAACTCAAGTTCACCAGATGAAAGAATGGACATGCTTACAGGAGATACTCTCTCTGTCATAGAGTATGCAGCCTCTCGCATACCACTGATACCGTGGTCCTATGAGAGCAAACAGAGAAGTTACAATCCAGATGAGATCCGCCACTGTGCAGGTAAGTAACAAGAGAAAGTAATTACACTTACTTATGTAATTGATGATAATTGACATAATCACAGTCTTCACAGCATGTTCCTCTAACCTATCACACAGTGACATTTCTCCAGTAAAGTATGTATGATGAGCTAAAAGGTCTTTACCGGGTCTGCAATCTCCATTATGGTCGTGGTGACCTCAGAGCCATTGGGCTGCGTCTCGATCTTGACCTCGGTCTTCCTTAGAGCTTGGGAGGCAATGATTTCACTGCTCTCTCTACTTAGAGGATGGATTGGGGGTGATTCAGAGCTCTCCCTTCTCATCGACTGGGCATTAGCTTGTTCTTTAGATTCTTTCCTCATGGCTTGGGCAGCTTTCACAGAGCGCGGAGCTTTCTTAGGTACAAAAGGCTTGGGAAAGAAATGAAACAGATCAAGTCGAAACCTGGGAGTGATCATGAGATTTAAGAAGCACAGTGGCAATCAAATGAATTTAGCAGCATATGGTGAGTCATGGTTAAAAAAAAGAAAGAATAAGAAGCAATGAAAAATATAACATAATTGTGAAATCAAAGAAACCAAACCTGAACTGACTGACTGAACTATGGAGGGCAGCATCAAATGGAATGGAATTAGCATCAATCAACAACTCAAATTCCAATGCAATTTCATGCTTTGCTTTGATGCCCTGTAGAACGCGAGAAAAAAAAAATGGGACGTGATTGCATTCATCAGCACATTTGCACATTTACACTAACCAGTGATTGGGTGAGCCAGCAACTTTGCTAAAAGAGAAAGGATGCTTGTCTACCTCCGGTTTACGTTCCTCCGGTGGCTTCTGTTCTACAACGGGCTTTGGTTTCTCTACGGGCCTCTGAACTTCTACATGTTCCTCCTCGGGAAGGTAGATAGGATCTGCTCCCAGTATAAAGGCTGGATGAGTGGGACGGTCAGAGAGGCTAAACTCAGCTGAGAAGTCTTTCTCCCCCAGCTCAGTCATGCCTCTAGAAAATTCCTCCATACCCGTTTGGAAGTCCATGAGCACAGTGAAGTCCACCTCAGCCTCCAGGCTGGACGTTGAGCTAACGGTGATACTCGAGCATTTGCGCTCAATGCCCAGGTGAGTCTCCTTCAGGTACAGAGTGTCTGGGTCAGGGTCATCTTCTGATACTGATCCCAAGCGTCTCTCCCAGGGCTCTCTCTGAAGAAGCACAAAAAGAGATCTTGGTGCAAGGAACCAGCTGTGCTACAAGAGCAAATGTCGACTGACAGGTAAAACAAGGCAATATAATGGATGTTACATCTTCTTCACATGACAAGAATGAGACAACATTGTGGTGACTGATGGTAAACGAGTCTAGTAGGGATGCAGGGGTTAGTTCAACTCAAAAGACTAGCTGAAATGTCAGAAGTGTTACATGTCTCTGAGGAAAAACTGAGACTATAATATGCTGATAGAACATTTTCACCCTAGGGTAGAATACTGCACATCTGTATTTGTATGTCATATAATATTCCTCTGTAGGACATTTTTATAGACATTTTTTATGACTTCGTGTTAAATTCATGCTAAGTGTGGCAAGCCTAGGACTTGCCAAACAGTGCCAATGAATCAATGCATGTGGTGGATGCATTAAATGACATTTCTGTGTAGGACTGTTGTGTAGGATGGTTTGGATCATGCAATCATGCTGTGATGATGAAAGCAAAAGACAGAAGGCAAATTGTAGTGCTTATGAATACATAAATGTGAAAGCCAAAGATTTTGCAAGATTTTTAGCAAGGAGGTAGCAGTGGATGAGTGGAAAAATGAGGCACCTGGGCTTCCTCCTGAGGCTCCGCATGAATTGCTGGAGTGGGAAGGGGCTCCTGGAATGTGAGATGAAATAATAGGAAGAGCAATGCAAAGTTAGTGCACTGAAATTTGAGATAACAGGGAAGGAGCCCAGACTAGGCCCTGAACCAACAACCAGACATTTATATAACTGATCGAATACACTGACTGACACAGATACAAATGAGAAGTCGTTACAGTGTGAACTACAGCGTACAGCACATTGCACCACAACAATTGAAAAGTTAAAATATATTATGGCAGCTGGGTGCAATTTTGCACTAAGTGCCACTAAAGAGCCTTTTAATCAATCAAACCAATATATCTATAGTAAACATCATGATACCCAAAGAGCAGTTTTGCAAGGTTATTCGTCAGGCTCTTCTAATCCAAAGTCTTTCTACTGCCAGAACAATGTTACATCAGCACTTTTTCTTAATTTCATTTCTTTCAGTTTCAATGTTGAGTGAAATAAGGTAGCATCTGCTTTGACAACAACAGTTGTCTATGGAAACTGCTGCTCAGTGGGTGTTTGCATAAAAAAAAGAAAAAGCCATCAAGATTCCCTGCAGTTTGTTACAAAATAAACTGAACAATTTCTTTCCCAGCCAAGTCAAAGAACAAATGCAACATCACTAAGAATTAAGCTAGGTATATTATCTTCTAAAACAGCTAAAACCATTCCTTGTTAAATCAACTTTCAGAGCCCTTCTCATGAACAGTACCATGGCCATTTTTGAAAGTCTTGCAGAAGCCCTTTTGTTTGCAAAAATGGCACTTTAGCATAACAGTATGGTGCACCGGCCTTTAATTCCTTGCAACAACCATTCCCTACATGCCTGGTAAGAGGGAACCAGAGAAAGAATGTTGGAAGGAAAGACCGCATATCAGGTGGAAAGTTAGTGGAACGGAAGCCTGAAGCTTAAGCAATGGAGATTATGTGGAAGATCCTAAGTGTTTCTCAAATGCGCAAGCAGATGTCGAGCTGTGCAGAGGAAGGAGAGGAAAAGAAAGTGGCACATCCTCATCCAATCAGACAGCGGTTATACTACCTCATACATATCAGCCAATAGTAAGATTAGACCAAAAAAAACGACTATTCTACTCATCTCTCCTCAGAAACAGGTTTCTTATGTTTTACCGACATGTGCATTATACAAAACTATAGATATGGATGTGCCTGTTTCATGCGATGCTTTAGTTCCTGTGAGTGACAAGCAGATTATCAAGCAGTTGTTACCACTGATTTCCTCTTGGAAGATTCCATGGTGGAGCTCTTGTGAAGATTGTTGCCAGAATCGCTTTTGGTGACTGGTTTGGTACGTGTTTCTCTTGCCCACTGGGATTTCACAGGTGGGTATAAAGGGGGAATCTGGTCAAAGGCTGGAAATGCTGAATTGGTGGGAAAGTCAAACATAAACAATGGATCTTCAAAAAGAAACTGATCTTGTTCGATACTAAGTCTGTGGTCTGCACTGTTCTTGAGATCTCTTAATTGGGGCCTGTCTTGGACAGACTGTCGGCAATATTCTCTTACTTCCCTAATGTGACAATTACTCATCCAGTCTTGCTTGGAAAAAGTTCCAGTGCTTTCTAAAGCTGCAGAATTTCTGGGCTGCAACAAGCCATCCGGGGCATTCTCGAACCCAACTTGCTCTTCCTTAGAGTTGGTCCCTTCACTTTCTTCAAATGATCCCGAAATGCTCTTCTCACTTGGTTGTCCTTGCAGCTTGGCTCCTTTATTGCCTTTCAACTTCTTCGACCTCTCAGGCTTCAGCGGAACGATTCGTTTCACCTCAGACTGTGATGTGTCGCTTGCAGTAGAATCGTGTCTCTGGATTGTTGAGCCTTTACTTTTAGGATCTGGTTTAGACATTTGTCTTTGTAAGGTAGCTCTGGTGTTCTCGGATTCTTTTTCATAGGATCGTCTCTCCCATCGGCTTTCATTATATCGATCTCTCATATATTTGTCTATGGCTGCATTTGGAGAAGCCTCTCCGAAACTTCTCTCTACATACCTTGCTAAGTCTTTATTCGTGTTCTCGTCTTCTCTATTGGTTAACCCCATGTACTTTTTATCGCCCCAGAGTCTCTCTGTTGCATATTCATCGCATCCATTTGTATGAATGACATTCTCTGACAAAGATCTGTCCTGCGGATGCCCATTATTATATGCTCTCTCCTCCAATGAACTGGCGCCCTGGAAATGGTTGTACCTTAAAGCAGGGCTTTCAGCACGATTTCTCAGGGGTTTCTCTGGTGATAGGATGGTTTCTGTTGAGGTCCTTTTTACTACATTTTGTTTTTCTCTCGTTTCACTGTGTGTAGTGATGGTTTGTTCTCTCATTCTGTCTTCTGTCTCTCTGTTGAATCCAGTGGCTAATGAAGCTACTCTAGGACTCCTGCTCTTTTCGTCTTTTTTACTGAGGGGCAGGTCTCTTTGACAACCATCTTGCTTCTCAATCAATAGGGACTCCTCTGAGGCCTACATATCAATAGAGTGAACAGTTTCAATGGCCTGTCAATGCCAACACTCCCTCTACTATAACTTGTATGGCGCATATCTTTGCCATATGAATCAGACATAAACTTATGATACAAGATAAGACAAGACAACAATTTTTGATCTGAGGAGGGAAAATTCATATTATCAAATGACATGTAAAATGTTGGATGGATGTTCTAAAGTTAAACAAAAGGGAGACATTTATGTACATAAGTACTTAATGTCATTTGGTTTTATTATCAAGCAATACCATTGTCTTTATAAGACTAATTAAAGAAAATGCATTCATGCTGTGTTCAAATAAACCACTCCAGCCAGATTAAGATAAACCACTCCATCTATTAAAGTTCAATATTGCTGCTAGCACTTGACCAGAGGCATGACATGAAATGGTTCAACAGCATCCACTTAAAGAGAGATTAGTCACATGAAAAAGAGTGCATGAATAACGAATCAAGCATTTGGCACTAAATCCAAAACTGGTACTGACATAAATCTGAATAATCGTCATCAGGAATCTTAAGGCAGTATAATTTTTTTTAGCATCTTTCTTTTTAAAAAGTCACCCCACAATACAATCCCTTGCAGGTTCTATTTACTCACAGATTTTTTCTCCGGAGTGCTACCGGATGAAGCTCCAGAGAGACGTTTCTCTCTGTGGACCAGTTTGCTGTTGGGCTCTCTCAGCGCTCTTTTCAGCTCATTGATGCTGGCTTGATGTTTTTGCAGCACATCCTCTGGTTTATCCAGGAACTGCTATAAAACAAATAGGTCAATCGGTTGAACCACTTACCTCCAGCAATTACTTAAGTGAAGGCTTTCTGGAGACCTGCACAGTTGTTTAAAAAATGTTTACCTAACAGAGGTGGGTACATACAGTAAGTACGCAAATGCAAACATCAGGCATTTGCTCAAGATAATCTTAAGTGTAGTTCTGTTCTTATAACAAATGAATTCGCCTCCCAGTTATAAATGTATGTTGAAATAATAGAAAACTCTAATAAACCAATATGAAATGCCACTGAAGTGCATCAAGTAATATGAATGAAGGTATCTGTTTGATCGCTTTAGATCGGACATTATTACTTTTTTCAAGAGAATATTTTAGACAAAACATTTTACTCTAACACTCTAAAATACTGTGCATAGTAAACAACCAGACATAGTGTCGCCCCAGATCCGGGCCACATCTGGTACATGTGGATTCAACACGCACCAGACATGGGCCGGATCTAGGCCGACACTATGTTGCTGTCTGGGCATTGTGATGCCTACAAATAATGACAAAATGAACCCGTCTAAATAGTTTGAGCCCTTTTCTTTATGCCAAAAATGACCACTACATCTTTTCTTCAACATTTAAGACAACAAAGCAGCACATAAAACATGAAACATGCTGGTGTAGATGACAGATGTCAGATGGACTGCCATCTTGGCTCAATTTTCTGTCACTTCCACTAGAAGACAATTACAGAGAGTGAATGCTCAGGCAGTTGATCGATGAGAAACAGTACCTCCTGTTTAGGACGTGGGGCCAAGTCCTGGTCCGACTGGGATAAAGGGGTGGTGGGGAAAAGGGTATGTTGGTGCAAGCCAAGGAACGGAGGAAGAGGCAAAGTGAGGTAGTGGAGACAGAGAGGCAGAGCATGGTTGAATTCATAAAGCAGGCAGCCAAACAGAGAGAGGAACTCTCATACAGACATCGATGTTAGCCATGGAAGTACAGAGAGTGAAAGCGGTTGTGCCACTGCCTCAGATTCAGTGTTTTAAAGTTGTCTTAGTCACATAACATTGAGCAACCCATTGTTCCTCTCTCTCTATCTCTATCATCAAGTTCATTGACACAAATCACCTGATCTTTCTTTTCATTATTCATACATATCTTATGAGGTGCAGACTGGCATGTACTGGATATTATCCGTGAGCATGGATAAGCGATACACCAATGACATCCCTAATCTCTACAAAACCTCTCCAGCACAAATCAAAACATGAACTGTTCTGCAAGTAGTCTAAGTCAACTCTGCAAGTAGGTGCTAAGTCTAGACTAACCTGGAAGTATAGCAAAACATAAGCTCTGTTTCTGGAGAATGTCCCTGAGCTCCTCCTTACCAAAAAAAAGAGAGTGTACTGTGATACTCCGATTAATGAAAACAGATGGGGAAAATGGGGCTCATTCACTAATAATTTGGCACAGACAATTTCTCATGCAAAATGGAAAGCAGGCCATTCCAAAACACAAACAGTTTTATATACTGTAGGCCTACACTATATGTGGTTGTGTTTTGGACCATTATAATAACATTCATTTTATTTTTAACTGGCATTAAATTGTTCCATTAACTATTAGTAACTAAGACAGCAACATAGTGTCGGCCCAGATCCGGCCCACATCTGGTACACGTTGAATCCACATGTACCAGATGTGGCCCGGATCTGGGCCGACACCAAGTTGCTGTCTGGGAAGATTTTAGAAAGGCTGCATTCTGTACAATAGTAGGCTAAATCAATGCCTAAATTGCTATTTGGTGATCAGTTACTATTGTTACTCTCTGCTAGAACAGCCTAGTGGCAAAACTAAAGCAATTTCAGAGGCAAGTGAAGTTTGACATAAGATTACAAAGGTTTTTTTTAGATAATGTGCCCTGCTGAATCGCACGCAATAAGACCAGGAATGTGTATTAAGTAAATACAGAATCAGCAGTGATTTCCCATTGACTTTAAGTAGGAAAAAAAGAACAACGACAATCAAAGTATAATATCCATCACATGAAGGCTGGAAAACTACATGGAAAACTCCTGGTGGCTAACAACACAGCAATCACGTTGCTATTTTTTCGAGGCACTCTAAAGCCATACTAGCAGTGTGTATGCAGATTTAGAGTGCAATTGAGACAATGACAGACAGACAATTAGACACACAGATAGATAAATCACGCTAAAAATACCTCCGTCTTAGAGTCTACAGGAGAGCCTGAGTCCTCCCTCTGTCCGCGAGAAGAAGCGAGAGAGAAGCGATAGTTAGAGGACAGCAGTGAAGTGTTAGAAGCAGGGAGAACAGTGCAGAATCTGAATTAGACTGAGGAAACTAGCAAATAGGGAGAAGAAGGTGAGTGTTCAGGCAGATTTGTAGAGAGGTTGGAAAGTTCAATTCAAAAGCATTGTTGACAAAACAGGCAGGCATAAAAATATATTTAAGATTAAGTCAGGGGCAGAGAAAAAAGCCAAAGGTAGGAAAAGGTGTTGGAGTGGAAGACTTTTAATTAAAAGGGACAGCAAGGGAAGTGTTAGTTTAACTCAATGTGATTGGAATTCTTGAAACTACAGTAGTTATTTGAATCTGCTAGGAAGAATATTTACATATTGCCACCCATAACGCAGAGACAATTTGAACTTAAACCTGCTTCTTTCTCATAGAATACTTTAGTAACTTATTAGAGAAGGGAAAAACACAACTAAATGAAGAAGCTGACACTAAATACGGTTGTGTGCACAGAACCTTGAGCTCCATAGTCTTAGAGGGAGTGGAGTCACTCTCTAGTCGCTGATCTTCAGCTTGTTCATGATCTTGGTCCAGGTCCTGTTCCAGACTGGGCTCCAGGTAGTCCTGGTCCAGCTCATCTCTGGGAAGACTAGGCACAGGCTCGCTACAGGTGTGCTGGGAGAGTCGGTCCATAGTGTCCCCTAAAGCTGACTCTGAAAGTGATACAAAGAAATAAAGCATGTAGGGTAAGAAACCCAAGTTGTGGTAGACATCTCACTTTCTAGAAGCTTGTTCCACCACAGCCCCCTTCAAATCTAAAAGGAAAGTCTAAAGTAGATGACCTCACAAATATAGAGTGGGGTCCAAAAGATGTGATCACAACAAAGTCACACAGCAGTCAGTTTTAGACCAGGCAGGTTTCTGTTGATCAACAGGGGTCAACTCGTGTGACGAACTTGAGCACGAGCAATATCTGCATGGGGATTGGCAGATCATGCCAATTCCTAGTGATTTAACTGGAAATTCCGCAGAGCAACGTTACATCATTATTTTAATATGCAAAACTGTTACCCAATCATAGCAGGGGGCGTTTACTTCCACGTCTTGAGTGTGACGTCCATCAAAATGGAGTGTTCGAAAGAGAGGGTCAAAATAGCTTATCACTTCTAAATTAGGATGATTTTTTATGTAAAAAAGCTTGAGGAAATTATAAGTGGACCTCATAGAACATAAAAATTAAAAAAGACATCCCTTTAAGACGTTCTGCAATTAATGTTTGTTTTTCAATTCAATGCTTCACTCCAACCACAGGCGCCGATTTATGTTTCTGCAGGTGGATGCCCACACTCCATACACACACACGTGCAAATACCAAATATAAAACACATTTCCATGAGCAAATGATAACTGAGCTAATTATACACATACGCAACAAATGCCCCATAAAACATTTTAATATTCTCATTACTCAGTAATTAATTATAGCCTACTGTTAGTTTTTCAAGAGTACGCTACAGTCATTTTTTTCCATTAAATGGTGCGCTTGATGAATTCATTACACAAAAATTGTCTTGTGAAGAGAAACGCATGGACTGTAAATACATTAACAACCAAACAAACGAATCCACGAGTGTTTTCGCGAGTCGCACTCTCGCTGATATCTGATGATCAGTAGCAGTTCAATAAATAAAATAATTAAATAAATACCTATTTACAAAAAGCACTTTACTTTACTGAAAAGCAACTAAGTAATAAAATAACTAGAGAATTGGCTGACTAAAATCAGTATGAAAACGCTATCTTGTGAAACAAAGGTACGCCTAAATCCGTAATTTCTTTACAATTTAAAGGTACACTGTGTTATTTCATCAGTCAATCGTGAAAGTCTAGTGGTTGAAATCTTCTGGCAACATTAAATCCAGGAGAGAAGACGATTCTAGAGAAAGAATAAGTAGAGATTCATGAGTGCACAAAGTTTGAGATTGCGCACGTAACATCTGAGCGAGAGCAGAGCCATGACATATTTGAGAACGCGCGTCCAGTTTTGTGCAACAGTGAAAGAAATCCGCCTGAAAGTAAATCCGCCTTACAACATTTTACATTGAAATAAAGCCATAGAAACAGCCTCAAATAACAAGAGAATGAGAAGAAAGTCACGTCTGAAAGCTGCAATCCTTTTTTTTTTTTATTGGTTAAAATGAATGGAGAATATCTCGTGTTTTCCCGTGGGTGCTCAAAAACTGTTATTTTTATCATTTGTAATGAAAAGTCTGTGTCAAATCTTAAAACTGCAATTAAAAATGCTTTTTTTACTTAATGATGTCAGACTTTCAGACCTCACTGTAGTTCTTTCTAAAAACAGATTCAGTGAACAGAGTTTTTAGCAGGAGAATGTGAAAGCTTTCAGTGGGTGGATATCATTTTCACTTAATGGGTAAAACATTTGTAGACTAAATGAAAGGTCAAAACTTGAGGTACCAATTCAAGTACGATTTGGGCAATTAATGCATTTTGTGATGATCATGGTATCAGAGAAATACTTACCTCCATCTATGCTGCGGGACAGCAGATACCTCCTACTAATTGATCGTTCAAATTGAGGAGCTGGCCTGTCAATCAAAGCACTGGCCTGGCGAGTCTGGGCTTGGGTCCGCCCACTGTAGCGGAACTTCGAGCCAATCACAAGAAAACCTTTAGGGGGAGGCTCAGGAGAGACCAACCTATAAGAGAAATACCAGAAACAATGTTAGAAAAAACAATGTAACATGACAGAATGAGAGTGGATTAAAAATTTCAAGTGTCTAAGCCCAAGTCAGGCCTGTCAGCACTTTTTAATGCCATCAATGAACAGAGCTGGAGTCAAGACCAAACACTAAAAGACCAATATTACATCCCTAAGATCTGTTAGTCTAAGAATTAAGTTCTTAATTAAAAAATTGTTTTCAGACTTAGACCATGACTCTGATTGGCTTTTGGTTTGGATTGGATTTTCCCTGAGCATTTCGATACGCAAAAATGTTCATAATGACATGGCCGTCTGGAATGAAGTGTTCAACATGATTTATATTCAGAATGGTAAGCAAGCACCGCTTTGTTTACGGTTTTTATATCCACAGTCCTAGTTTGGATTTCTCTTTCTGTTCGACCCCAACTTTTTTGACCCAGATGCACGCGTCGTGAGGCGATATAACACAGACGTCTTTCGTCACCGCTAGTTCTGTGATGTCATTTTGCTGTGTCATGGCCTATAGGCCAAGGTCATGTTTAAGCGGAGACTCCAACTCTGTCAATGAAGGTACAAAGAAACAAAACAAGACCCAACACCTGCATTCTCACACTTAAAAAAAAAGACTGTGCCCAGTGTTGTGGCAATGGTAATAGAACAGTGAGCGGCGAGTGCCTACCTGAAAAATGTGTGGTGTTCAATGCAGACCTTCCACAAGCGCTTAGAAGCACGGTGGTTGGGAAGCTTGAAGCCAATGGTGCTCTCAAACTGCTCGTACTGGGAGTGCAGGGGAGTGTTGGCATGTGAAGGGGAGGAAGTGGGGGGTGTGAAGGGAAAGCAGAGTTGTAACGTGTTACTTGACAGGAGAATTGACGAGGTGTAAAATATGTGCTGCTAAAGCTCAGATCAACCGACAGGGCACAATTCTGCATGCCTTTATTTATCCAAACAGAATTTCTAAAGAATGCTGCAGAGAAACTGCATAAGAATGAGAGTAAATATTAATATCTAAAAGATCAAGGTCCACAGAATGGAGCCTGTTATGCTGATAAGATGTTGAACAGTGAAGCATCTTGAAGATATTGTCGAGCATTCATATCTGACCCTCGCACATAACGTGCAGAGTCAAAGAAATACCATGCTTTTGTGATAGACAGAGCCGGGAATCCCATTGTGAGAGGAAAATCAAAGAAAATAACCCTGTGAATTCACACTGCAGAATCCTTAACACTTAATAAAGACCTCTGCAACTTATTTTGCCTTCTTTCGTTCCTCTCTCCGCATTGAATTGTCTCCTAACCTCATCTCTTCTCATTTTCTGCTTCTCTCTCTGTCTCTGTGCCCACTAGGCAAAAAAATTTCACAGCTCAGCCTAATGTTTTAAAACCCTCATCCTTTCCACACTCAGCAAGCTAGCAAACACTAAAGAGCAGAACCTCAAACAATATAAGTAGTGTTTGTTGAGACATAATTAAAGACTTTTTTTTTAAATGGCGTAATTAGAAATGTGCTTAAGAAATATTTTATTTCTTTTGTGCGAAGCGGTGGAAGAACACCCACACCAGTCTTCAGAGCACTGTGTAATTTGAAAGCCTGAATAGTGATTTCAAATACTCGAAAAACGTCCCATTCTTTTCTAATAAAACCACATCATGCAGATTATCCGCCCATTTTCTCGCCCACAGCATTTCTTCACCCACAGTCTTAGTACGGCATCCTTAGCTAGCTAATGCTTGAACATGCATCTACGAGTGCAATCTAACAATAAAAACCTGGAAAATCTCAAAAGACCTTTTTCTCTACCTCTCCAGGACGGATTTTGATGTAGAAGTTGCTTCTCTTGTAGGATATTTTGAGGATCTTAGGCCAGGCAAATCGGTTGATACGCAGTCGGTCTCTATAGATCAGGAGTCCACTGGCACACACTCCCAGCATGATGTCAATGCCTTCAGAGTCCTTTAAAACGCATAAACACACAAAAACAAATCTAGATGCTTAGCTTTTTTTAGTCACATTTCAGTTTCAGACTGTCAATGGCACACCAAGGGGTTATTGTAGGATTTCATCCTATGAGATCTGAGCCTGTAAAATTGCAAAATTGGATCACAGGTCTGTTCTAATAGGGTCGTGGACTGCAGGGGAAAACATTGTTAAATCCCAAAAATTTAAATACAAATAACCATATAATCATGCAGAGTTGGGATGGCAAAATAAATAGGCTTATCTTCTTTCAAAAGCCATGAGAAGACACTAACAAAATCTCTTTTTGACATCAATTTCTTCCACCTTGCAAAGGGCGTGTCCAATCAAAATTCGAATGCAAATTCGTATGTCACTTGGTACTAGAACTACTACAATTGCCATTTCTGGCCCAGTGTGTGTTTCATGTGTTAGGCTGGTAAATCACTTTCTTTTCTCGTTGTTCTTTTCAGCCCCTGAACAGGAACTATAATCACCTATGCACCAAATATACAGTTTATAATGTACTATGTACAACAACACGGACACTCTATTCAAGCAGAACCATTTCATAAATCACAGCATCATACCTTAGCATGATGGAGATCAACGCCATACATGGAAAGTTTCTTGGCGTTCTCCAGGAAGTTGATCTCAGCCTCTGCAGGACTCATGCCCCTGGGCACAGGTCATCATTTTGAGAATTTCATAATTAAAAAAACTGTATAAAAACATGTCACTTACATTACATGTTGCTGAATATTTGAGCTATTTAATTGCTTGCTATCAGTATCTATAATTAGAGCTTTCAATTTAATTTAATCTGTTAATTTAGAGTTTATTATTTAGTGTACATTTATTATTATTTAGTGATACAAATGTATCCCTTGGTTACACTATATTTGTGTTACGGTGTAATTATACATTTAAGTACTGAGTAATAATAATGAACCACATGGGTAACACTTTACAATCAGGTTCCATTAGTTAACCTTAGTTAATGCATTAGTTAACATGTACTAACCATGAACAACATCTCTGTTCAGCATTAGTTCATATTTGTTAACGTTAACTCACACATATACTAATGCATCAATTTACGTTAACAGCACAGTTAGTTAACATTAGTTAATGCATTAGTTAACATGAACTAACCATGAACAATGCCTGTAAATAGCTTTACTGTTTTGTAAGGTTAACTTACTGTACATATTTACATTAGTTTACGTAGCAGTTGACACACACTAAGTATGAACATTTCTAACTCACCAAGTTACCCTAAATGTAAAAATACTGTTGTGTACCTTATCAACACTCTTTCATATAATATATAAGGCATTGATTTGTTGGTAAACATAATTCTACAGCGGGAAATGTTGTATGTTGTATATGTTGTTCATGTTTATACGCACTTTACTATCATTACTTGCATTCAAATAAGTATTTATTAATGCATTGAGTGAAAAGTGTACACTATTTCAACATTAACTGATGTGTTACTAACATTTGTAGACGCTTTATTACCATTAATTACCATTAATGAAGCATTTATTAATGGAATTTATAAACCTTATTGTAAAGTGTACACTATTCAACATTAACTGATGTGTTACTAACATTTGTAGACTCTTTATTAACATGACTTAATAAAGTTGTTCATCAACACTCTTTCATATTTATAAAGCATTGATTTGTTGGTAAACATAATTCTACAGCGGAAAACAAATGTTCTTTACAATAAGGTTCATAAATTCCATGCAATTTATGAACCTTATTGTAAAGAACATTTGTTTTCCGCTGTAGAATTATGTTTACCAACAAATCAATGCTTTATAAATATGAAAGAGTGTTGATAAGGTACACAACAGTATTTTTACATTTAGGGTAACTTGGTGAGTTAGAAATGTTCATACTTAGTGTGTGTCAACTGCTACGTAAACTAATGTAAATATGTACAGTAAGTTAACCTTACAAAACAGTAAAGCTATTTACAGGCACTGTTCATGGTTAGTTCATGTTAACTAATGCATAATGTTAACTAACTGTGCTGTTAATGTGAATTGATGCATTAGTATATGTGTGAGTTAACGTTAACAAATATTAACTAATGCTGAACAGAGATGTTGTTCATGGTTAGTTCATGTTAACTAATGCATAAACTAATGTTAACTAATGGAACCTTATTGTAAAGTGTTACCACTATAGGATTAGGGTGTGGTTAAGGTTAGATGCGTGTAATTATTCAATTCAATTCAATCAAGTGTTACCAGGAATTTTCAAACCGTTTAAATACGGTACTTTATATTTTGTGAGCCTAGACCTATCTTGTACAAACTGACTAGTTAGACTGCAAAAATGGCTTGCTGTGGTTTGGGTCAGGATATAAAACAATATATTAATTTATTAAGATTCTAAAGTCTATTCAATGCTTTAATCGTCTACCCTAATAATGTTATGTCTTTAGGTTATCTTCATTTGGGGGACTTTCTCAGCAAACACTGATAAATGTGATTAACTGGGATTATTCAAATTAATTAATCAGCATATCACGTAATTAATATGACTAAAGTGAATTGACAGCCCTGGAAACGACTGCTCCCTCTGCAGGCCAGCTCTTCTCACCTGTAGGTGCGGTGCAGCTCCATCACCCTCTCCTCCAGCTCACGGGTCTGATTGGGGGCGAAGCGAAACTCGCTGATGTAGTCTGGCCCGTGTTCCTCTGGGTCATAGTCTCCCAGCTCAGCCTGAACGGCGTACGAACCCAGCAGAGCGTGAGTGACGAACGAGCAGGGCAAACGACCTGACAGTATGTCGTCCCTCAGCTGCAGACACAGGTAATACCTGTCCATACAAACACACACGCAACGATCAAATCACAAAGTTATTTAATCGCTTTAAATTACATTATTAGTGGTCATTTGCCTTTATATATTTATACCATTAATTAAAGATACAAGAAGAAACATATAGATAAAAGACACAAGAATACACAACGGAGTGATATGCGTACCGTGGCTGAAGTATTTCAAGTGAATTAGTCTTGGAAGTCTAATACGTTATATCTATCAGGGTTATATACAGTTAACAAAAACGTTACTTTTCGTTACTTGAAATAAAATAAACATTAACAGAAAAAAATATATTTTTTAAATCTTACTATATTAAACTTATTAATTTATTTTGTCTAGTTGTCTAGACAAAAGTTCTCATTTTCATTTAGTTTAACTTGATGTACTAAAAAAACTAAAACTAGAAATGAAAAAAAAGTATAAAAACTGCATGGACACATACAGTAAGTACAAAAAAAAACTAAAAAATAATATTGAAAAGGGAAAAGATAAAAATAAAAACCAAATTCAAAATATGATTAGTAAATTAAAGTATATTAGAATCTCACTGATTTGTATAATTAATTTACCATTAAAATTAAATTAATGAAATATTTTTACATTACACTGAGGACAATTTATAAATTATTCTATAATATGATTATATTTGTAAGAATATTCTTATGAATATAATTATACAGTATTATAGATACATACTCAAACGCATAAAATATATTTTTATATATTATTTAACATTATTATTATTATTAACCATCCATCCATCTATCCATCCATTTTTTAAAACTGCTTGTCCTATGTAGGGTCACAGGTATAATAAAAAAAAATTTGAAAAAAATTATTATAATAAACATTTTAATTTAATTTAATATTTTCTCCAAAATTAGGTTAATGTGGGTCCATTTCCTTAAATAGTGCCGCTATCAAAACATCACAACCAGCACAGCAACACTGGCTCAACCAATGACGTGAATTTAGGGTGGAATTATCTGTTTTGCGGACTAATGCCAGACAGTGGCAGTGTTCGGCAAACATTTTTAAAGACCGTCTTTATTTTTGCCACAGAAATGACACATTTCAGCTTGAACATGTTTACACTCACCGTGTGATGTCTTCAATCAGCTGAGACGGATCGGGAGGATAAAATTTGACAGCAAAGGAGAAATGCCAGGGACCCACTAAAAACAATCAGACACAAACTCACATTCATCATCAGATTCGGGCGACCAAGGAGGTTACAGAGCCAACGTATCTTATTTTCCTGCACTTACCACGGATTTGTTTCTTGATTTCTTTCGAAGGATCTAGCCAATTCTGAAAGAGAGAACAAAAATCCCTCTATCAAGCAGGTCACACTGATAAGCAAATGCCGCAGTTTCAGCACAGTCTCCTCCACGGCAGGAGCAATCACCTCATACATATTCTGTAAAATGGTCAGCGCATTAACATTCTACAGCCACAGGAGCACTAAAAGAGTAGATAAATGTCATCTCCGGCGCACCGCACTCCAGTAAGGTCACCCAAAGCCTGGTGACACACGGACACATTTAATGCCAGCTCATCTCGGCCCAGAGGAGATGAAAAGAACTGCATTATTCACATCTCACAGTATCAACGTTCATAAATGACCACTGATATATGTAATATATAAAAGCAGGAGAGAAATAATCTCAGAAACTACTTAAAGATTTTTTCTGGTTATTTTTATCTGCCCACCAACCCTGCAAATGTCTTCATACTGTAACATAAATCTTCTACATTATTGTGAAAAATGGCCAATTTCTGTTCCTGCCTTTACAAGTTTCTCAGACAAACCTTGCACTCTCCGCAGGTCTCCCTGCCCATGCTTGATACATGTGGCTTTCAAACGGAAATCATTCGAACTGCAGTGTGATCATATTGGTTGGCCTGGGAACAATCCCCGCTGATCGCAGCAGCAGGCACAAGAGTCTCGACTGGGAAAAAGAGCTAAGTGGAACTAGACTGGGATAGCCGTGGCAGTGCAGGCAGGGTCATTATGGCTAAACTAAGACTGGGGAGTTCCTCAAGAACATTTCAGTCAATCAAATCCTGCCTCTAACAGTCTCGGTCACAAGGACTCTCAGAGCCCATTACCTCAACCCATGTATGTGCACGACAAAGCCAGTCATGCTCGATTTTCAAATAAAGAGCTCATGGTAAAGGGAATAGAAAATATACAGATGCTCTTGTTAAAACGAGATCGTGTATATTGGTCAACATACCCTGTTGTCTATAGTTACAAATAAGGAAAAGCATAAGATTGCTTTGGATGTTTACATTTGAAAACAAGTTAACAATCAAGTTAATCAAGTAAACAATCAATAACTTAATCTATAGCATTTATAGGACAGTTTAAATTAGGAATAACAAAAAAGTGTCATCAGTATGTGCTCTGTTAAGTTACAGCAATTAGATATAAGAGAAAGTCTGATCTGTCAACTCAGGGTGTTTGGCATTCCTTGTAATTTATATGACAATATTGATTTGGTCTTGGGAGAATAGATCTGCTACACTGTAAACCCGAATAAGTTGGCACAACTCAAAAAATTTAAGGCAATAAATTGAGAATTAAGAAAAATTTAAGGCAATAAAGTTAAGAAATTCAAAGTTTAAGTAAGCAGAACTGACATATTTTTATTTTGTATTTTGTATTTTTATTTTGTATTTTATTTTGTATTTGTACATTTGAATTGTTCTTAACTTGAAATGTTTGAGTACACTAATTCATACATTTAACTTAAAATTTCATGTAATCTCAATGTGAACACTTTTATTAGTATAAACTTAGCTAGCTTTAACAAGCTAGTTTGCTAACATACTATTTTGTTAACTTCTTAACAATAGTATGCACAGTAACACTTGCAGCAATATAAAGATTTTATTTGCTCTCAAATCAAGCTCATGCACCACTTGTCACCATGATGGTAACTATCCTAAAACCAACATTAACAGAAATTCTTCTAAATTAGCATAACGAAACATTAATCATTACTAAATCACCCGCTTAACATTAATCTTGCACAAAAAAAACATTGTATTACACTTAATTTTAGCATTTACTCTCCCTTTCGAGTGCCATCGGCAAAGCATGCTGGGAAATATACATCCCAGCCGTTTCAGTTAAACTTAAGTTCGTCTAAATTAAAAGAAATAATTTCATAAAACTCAAAACAATGAAACAGTTCAGTTTACTTAAAATATATCCATTCTGTGAACTTGAAAGAAAAAGAAAGTGCTAAATACTCATAAAAGTTAATTTGACTGAACTAATTAGTTTAATTTAAGTTTTTCCTACTCAAACCAATTAAGTATTTTGAGCGTTAGGGTTTACAGTGTACGCTGCTGCTGCAAAGCAAGTACGGGACGTGCTACTGCCAATACATACACGACGCGCTGCTGTGAGCAAGATATGCTGCTGCTTTACGATATAGCGTACATGAATTACCCGTGGCAGATCTATACAGGTGGAGCTGGGGAAGGTGGAGGGTTTCTGAAAACAAGCTGCAAATGCTACAGCAAATGCTGAACAAGCATTTGAAGGTTGAGCAGCGAGCTCATTGGCTACTGATACAGCAGGGACCAATCAGCTGTGCCCTGCAGAGAATGATGTGATTGCAAGCAGATTGGGTTAAAACCCTCTGGGCTTCTTCGTCCGAAAATGACCGAAAACTTTTACGTTTTGAATTGTTGATTTTTTTTTGCTTCATCGGATGGGGGTGAAACTTGGTGACTTTTGTTGTATTACCTATATGAACACACAAAAAAGTCAAGGAGATGATTCTGATATGTTAAAGGGTCGTAAAAAAAAAAAGTCACACTTAGCTTCCTCCCGGTCAAAAATGACCGACATAGGAAATGAATGGGAAATCCGAAAAAATAGGAAAACTCAGAGAAACTTTTGGTGGTACAAGCTACAGATCAGCCACTGTGGAGAAAAAAAAGTGTACAGCAATGAAGGGGTGACACTCTAAAACATCAAGAGTGCAAATAAGCCCCCCCCCCCCCCCCCCCCACACACACACACACACCCACGCACACACACATAAACTGGCAAGACTGCAACAGCAAATTTGTAGAATATGCTAAATAAAATCAATAAATGAAAAAAAAACCTTGCTCAAATGCACACACACACACACACACACACAGAGAGAGAGAGAGAGAGAGAGAGAGAGAGAGAGAGAGAGAGAGAGAGAGAGAGAGAGAGAGAGAGAGAGAGAGAGAGAGAGAGAGAGAGAGAGAGATTAACTGGTAAGACTGCAACAGCAAATTTTGAGAATATGCAAAAATAAATAAATAAAAAATACCAATTTATTGCAAAATGAATTATCACTAACCATCCCTTATTTTGTTCAATTATTTGAATGATCAAATACCGAGTAACAAAAATGTTTGCATTGTGTTACCTTTCTAACCAAATGCTATAGTTTGATTGTAATCATAATGCAAAACCTGATACTTATCTAAAGAAATTGTTAAAAAAAATAAAGAAGTAGTCTTTTAGAATATCTAAATGTATATCTAAATAAAAAAAAACGAATAAGATAGAGAAATCATGTCTAAAACAACAAAAGGAATCAAAAAGCCTTTCTATGTATTTATATAGGAAGCTATAGGCAGCCTACAGGCTGGTACAGGACATTGCACACATGTAACTATTTTTTAAAGCCACTAGATGGCGCTCTTCTACTTGAACTTTTTTTTTTTTAGGCTGGCACTCTATTTTGATGTGAAATGTTGCATAATTTTTTTTTTAAATAAATATAAAATAAAAATATATATATTAATTCTAATGGAAAAAAAATAGCTCATAAAAATTATATAATTAATGCAAAGTATCATAAAAAACTCGAAAAATTCTAAATAATAATTAGAAAATATTATAGAACAAAAATATATTTGATTGGTTATCCTGGGAAAAAATGAAGTTAAATTATATGGCTTCGTCCATTTTTGACCGGGAGGAAGCTAAGTGTAACCCATTTACGAAGAAGCCCAGAGGGTTAAGAACCGATCAGCCTGCGCCATCTAGAGTTTCATGACAGAACTTTGTATTAGTGCAATGAGAGGATGTAACTCTGACCTTTTGGCTCTCCGTGTCACTGAAGGATAGACCGAAGTAGTCCTTCTCCAAGAGGTTGAGATGTTCACATACCGCATCCAGTAACACTTGTCCTTTGCAGAGCTTCTTTACACAGAGATGAAGAAGAACAGAGAATGAGCACAAGAGAAAAGGGATTGATTTAGTGTTTGTCGTAGAAAATACCCCTTTTTCGATTTGAATCAAAGTCGGGAGCATTGCTAGTCTCTTTAACTGGGGCAAAGTAACCTTTCCTTGAGTTTCTGTCCATTTGATGGTTCATTGATAAGGGGAATGTAGCATGTCAATCAACTCAAGTTAAATTTATTTGTTTAGCATTTTTCACAATACACATTGGTACGGAAAATCATGATGTTAATGTTTAATTTTATATTTAATCTTAACATGTTTAAGCAGATTAGAGCTGGGCGATAATATAGTTTACATTTTCTGAGGATACAAGCAATCAAGCAGTTGAGATTTGCTATCTAGAATATATTGCTTTATGTCAGGTATAATGCATGTACGCAGATAATGTTGAATATACTTATTTTTACCATGTATGTCTGAATACTTAGTTCTGATGGGCTTGAAGGTGTGCGTTCAAACCGTTTAATGCACAAGTAGTTCCAGTCAGTTTAATCGCTGTTATATTAAAGGTACACCATGTAACTTTTTCACTCTAGCAATTAATAAACAAAACTGCATGCATCTCTTTCTCTCTCTCTCACACACACACACACACACACACACACACACACACCAATAGCAGACTTTGCTGTTTCACTTGAAATAGTTCAAACAGTACAGCTATTGTGCGTCTCTGAGCAACACGGTTTCAGTTTCGCTACTGAACGAATCGTTCTAATGAATGACCCAACGACTCATTTTGAGCGAATCGTTTGACTGAATGATTCAATGGCTAACTCGGTAAGACAATGATTTGCTGCCACATACTGGCTGTTTTAGTATCATTTAATTATAGCTGATGGACTGAGGGACGAAGATTGAATGCTGTTTTTGTTTTCGGTCATGATTATAACAGCAACATAGTGTCGGCCCAGATCCAGCCTACATCTGGTACGCATTGAATCCACATGTACCAGATGTGGCCTGGATCTGGGCCGACACTATGTTGCTGTCTGGGATTGTTCTGGTTAAAGCGATAGAATGCATTTATAAATAGACCAATGAGAGCAAAATATGAGATAACATTGTAAATATAAGATATAATTGCAGTCACATTGCATACAATGTTTTTGCCCGTCTTTTTTTTTTTTTCTGGAGGTTGTTTTTTTTAAAAAGGGCCTTCGATTGCAAAGGCCGCCTCTGACACACACACACTCTCTCTCTCTCTCTCTCTCTCTCTCTCTCTCTCTCTCTCTCTCTTTCTCTCTCTCTCTCTCTCTCTCATGATAATTCTTTCAAATAAATGTTTTAATTTATTGAGATAAATCTTTTTTAGTAAAACTACTTTTCTTTGTGTCTGATTTAAAGCATGCAGAATGTGACCATGATATAGGCGTGATAATCCACAGCTAAGTTTGTATTACTCAATTTCAATGCACTCCCTTACACATCTAACTTAATATAAATAGCTGGGAAAATATATATGTAAATATAATATAAACATAATTAGATTACAGTCAAGAAGATAAGATTTCTCTTCAGTCTGTAAGCATCTGTGTGCCTTTCTGACCACACCCAGTCATTCTGCACAAAAGAGTGGCATATGCAACTCGCTTGAGACACCAGCTCTGGCTTTGCCTTTCTAAAGAAACACTAAGCACTCGCCGCCCAGGGAGCCCGTTTCCCGCGGCGACAGAGATACAGCGCAGCTGTTTCCATGGCAACAGGAGTGGTGAGGTTTCATGTGTGTGTGTGTGTGTGTGTGTGTGTGTGTGTGTGTGTGTGTGTGTGTGTGTGAGTGTGTGTGTGTGTGTGTGTGTGTCGCTTCCCTGGCCTCTCATGGCTGAAGCACAAGGTTTTTTTTAAGAGGGAGAGAGACAGAGAGAGTGGGTGTGCTACCATACAAAGGCTTCTTAAGTTAGCTAGGGAGCCCCTCAATTGCAACAGAACATTATTTTGGTATATGTAAAGGCAATTTCACAGTTTTTACTCCAACATAAAAGCACGTGAAAGACTCAATTTTAATGGATCCCCGGGTGCAGAACTTTACTCAGAGTTCTGACTAACATCGGTATACTGTATTTGATGCCATTGGTGATTTCAGGCGGTATTGTACCTTCACAGTTTGCTTCCATCAGCAAGGCTCGTAATGAGATGTGCTCTACTGTTTTTATCTACAGTATAGTGCAAAGATTTTTATTATTGATGATGTGACAGAAAGAATAAATGAAATGTACATTAACATGCTTTGGTACTTTAGATCTATTAGACTCTTGAGATTGTGCTTCTCTCTGTGATCAACTCAAGGATAAGCCATTGTTTCAGTGGAGTCATCAGATATTTAAAGAGACAGTTCATCCATCCTCAGTCAAATCATTCCTTGATCTGTGGAACAGAAAACAAGATATCTAGCTATATTCTCAGGCTGCTTTTTTCCATACAATGAAAGTGAACAGGTTATTAATATGGTAGTTAATAAACTTCCCATCACAACTGTCACAGCAATATATTAATATCTTAAAGTCCTCCTCTAGTCAATAATTTTATCCCTTAAAACTCATCTTTGATCACCAAAATGACATATTTAAATGTGCCATGAATATGCTAATTAGCCTCGCCTCCACTCACTCACACCGGCTCAGAGATTCACTCGGCCAACTTACTGAGGTAAATGCTGCACAATGGTATCGCTCTTTACAATGGCGGACACATAATGGTAATTAATATGATTAGCCTTTTGCTTGACTATGTTATCAAACAGCTAATAATGCTTCTAATGTTACACAAACTATGTTCCTATTAATTTACTCACCCTCATGTAGTTCCAAACCTGTATGACTTACTTTCTTCTGTGGAACATGAAAAATATGTTGACTACCTTCGTATGAACAAAAAATATTAAAAAATATATAATGTTCCAGAGGAGAAAGAAAGTCATACAGGTTTGAAACGATGGGTTTGTGTGTGTGTGTGTGTGTGTGTGTGTGTGTGTGTGTGTGTGTGTGTGTGTGTGTGTGTGTGTGTGTGTGTGTGTGTGTGTGTGTGTGTGTGTGTGTGTGTGTGTGTGTGTGTGCTGTATGTATACGATTTGACAGCACTAACAAATAAACAATGTATAAAGAAGTAGAGCAAACGGCCTACAAACAATAGAAAAATCAAACATTTTATTTGATGAAAACATGATATTGGTTTAAAAAAGTTGTAAAATTGTTTTTAGCCTTAATTTGTGTTGATATGGTTTATTAACCAATTTATCCATCCATGTAAGTGAGTGGTAACTAAACTAAAACTAAACTAAACTAAAACCATTAAAAAAAAAAAAAATTTTAGTTACTTAAAATAAATTAAATGTTAACTGAATTTTTTTTTACTTATTTTATTTCAGCTAGATGTCAGGGCAACATTTCTCATTTTCTTAGCTTGATGTACTAAAATAACTAAAACTAAAACTGAAATAAAAATTAATACAATTTTAAAGATAGGGTAGGCAATTTGTTCCTTAAAGGGTAACTAAACCCTAAAACAACTTTTTTTTAGTTAATGATCTGTAAGACTGGGGCTTTATTAATGCTGTTCATTGATTTGAGTAATTTTTTTGACATTTGGGTATAAAGTGTAACAATTCTACAATATATGGTGTAAAAACGTCTGAGTGCTGCCCTCTTCAGGTTGAACGGTAGTGTCATAATGTGGGTCTTGTGTCCTGTTTAGTGTCATTAGTGTCTTGTCATTAGTTATCCCAGGTGTTTCTTGTTATCCACGCCCCCTTGTTATCCTGTCTGCTCGTTTGTCTCTGATTATTTAAGCCCTGTGTTTCTGCCCTGTCTTTGTCAGTTATTGAATGTATTTACGTACCACGAGTGTCTTGTCTGTTCTGAGTTTACCCAAGTCTGAATTATTAAAGTCTGCTGCGGCATTTAGATCCGACTACCGCCTTTGCTTCAACGCAATTCATGACAGAATAACTGACCACCAGGATCTAGCAGTATACCCGGGAACCACCGACCGTAAAGCAAGAGGTATGATGATGGAGGACGGATTCTACCAGAATGGACGGTCGCTTGAGGAGTACGTGGGGGCTTACCTACAGTTTTATCATGAGACAAATTTGAGTGAGGAAACTGGACGACACGCTCGGCGCAATGCTTCTGTTAGATGCGGAACACCTCTCTTTTGTGCAGTTCCTGGACCGAGCGTTGTGGGTGTGCGGTTCGTCACTCACTGTAGGACTCGCTGAGGAGATCAGCTGTGTTCCCAAACCAGGGCATTCCGTCAAGACCGTTCCAGGTAATTCCAAGCACAGTTCACGTAAGAGAGTTTCCAACCGAGCTCTGAGAAAGCCCGTTCGCCGCATCCGCACTGCCGACACCGCGCTCCACAAGCCTGCAACTCACGTCTGTCCAGCCGAACCCGCGCTTCACTTCAGCCCTGCCGACACCGCGCTCCACAAGCCTGCAACTCACGTCTGTCCAGTCGAACCCGCGCTTCACGTGAGCCAAGTCGAGCCTGCTTTTCACGACATGCCTGAGCTTCTTCCCGCCGAGACCGGCATGCCTGAGTTTCTGTCTTCCGAGCCCGCGACTGACGTCTGCCCAGCCGAACCCGCGGTTCACGAGTCAAGTCCAGAGTCAAGTCCCGAGTCAAGTGAACCGAATCCCGAGTCAAGTGAACCAAATCCCGAGTCAAGTGAACCGAATCCCGAGTCAAGTGAACCGAATCCCGAGTCAAGTGCCGTGTCAAGTGAGTCAAGTGCCAAGTCAAGTGCTGAATCTAGCCAAGTTAGAGTATCAAGCCCAGTGACTCGCCGTCGCAGGAGGAGAAGTTGGACTCGTTTGGTTCGCCAGGCTCCGGTGGGCGTTCCCAGACGCCTCGCCCTGCTGGCCCCGCCTGTGCGCCTCGCCCTGCCGGCCCCGCCTGTGCGCCTCGCCCTGCCGGCCCCGCCTGTGCGCCTCGCCCTGCCGGTCCCGTCTCTGCTCTTC